ATATGTTGATTCGGGTGTGTATATGTGTTTGTATGTGTGCTTCTCTAGTATTTTTATATATACTACTAGGGGTGATATGCTGATTTCGTGATGTAGATAGCTGGGGGTATAATATTGTCCAAGCTATCGACACACTGCGGGATGTTGGCTAGTCATAGACTATGATACAATATGAATCCCTAAATGTTCATCGTCACTGGGTATCAGACTGGGGTCCCTGGTATTGAAGATGAGGTTACTTTAAAGACTGATACATAGTTTATAATAACTCTGGGTGTGATGTTGGCAACAGCAGCCACATGAGCAGCCGAGTTGGTACCCTTCTCAGTTTATAGTATTATTAGACCCTCTTATAGTGTTGAAATGTACTACACAGTCATCTGACAAACAGATGACTTGCATAGTTGACAGTAAGGAGTGCCACGTGTGAGACATAAACATTGCCCTACTAGCTGTGCTTAACAGCATGCATCACTATCACAATCCATACCCATCTACAGTCCAAGACAATTATACTTGTCATGCACAGCATAGAATACCATACCCTAACTATATACAAAAAACGTACAAGACTATATACATCATTCCAACTCCTGACAACCCTAATCACTCATTTCCTTCCTCCTTACCCCCATCACCCTCCTTCCCCCCATCACCCTCCTCATTCCCATCCCCCTCCACAACAATCACCACCTCCTCCACTTGCTCCTCCCCCCCATCATCCTCCTTAACCCCCTCCTCCCCACCCACCTCATTCTTCCAACTCCCCGCATAATGATGACTAACCAAATACTCCCCCTGCCCCTGGGGCATCCCGCCCTGCAACGCCGCAAAGCTCGCCTGGGGCAACACAAGCACATCCCCAAGCAACAACCCCCCCTCCCCAATCCCCTCAATCTCCTCCTTGCCCACCCCGCGTCCCACCTCCTCACTAATCGTCTCCAACAACGCAACAGTAATAGCCTGCGGCCCCGTCACATCCACCACATCCGGAATCATCTCCATCGTCACCTCACCCACAGTGACATTATTCTCCATCGCCAACGCCTCCAACCGTCCCGCCACATACTCAATCGCATGATAGATATGCCCATTCCCGGGTGTAGACATCACCGTCCACGACGCAAACTGCCACCCGTCAAACTCGATCCCCACGACCACGTTCGCCGTAGGCGGGATCGGCCATTGCGATATGGGCACTTCGCAGGATACGTCCAGGTCGGACCAGATCCCGCCGTCGATGTAGAGGATTAGCAGGCGGAGGAGATCGGCGCGGAGGATGGGCACGGAGAGGGAGGTGTATAGGTCGGCGATCTCGGGCCAGATGGGTCGGAAGTTCGTTTCCACGTACGCGAGGCTGGATGTTTCCGTGAGGATCTCGTGCCGTAGGTGTGGGTTTAGGGTTGTCCAGGTTGAGATCCATGATTCGGCTTGCTCGGTGAGGCCTTTTGTGCCCGTTTTTTGCCATAGTTTGTGGGGGATGGAGTGACTGGTTGGTTGGGGGTGGGTGCGGGTGTGGGTTTTGGGAGGGTGGGTTGTTGTTGTGGATGTGGAAGTGATGGAGGTGGTTGTGTGGGTGGTGATTGTTGCGAGGGTGGTGGTTGGGAATAGGGTTGTTGGGTCTTCGGTGGTGGTTATTTGGGGTGGTTGTTGTGGTGGTAGGTGTATTTCTTGTATCTCTGCTGCCGCTGGACTTGGAGTCGGGACGATGGTGGGTGAGAGTGGTACGACGGGTTGGCGGATGAGTCGGTGGAAGAGGTAGAGGTTTAGGAAGACGAGGGAGAAGATGAGGATGGCCGTGGGTCGGGTTAACATGGTGGACATTATGTTGTTGTAGTTTAGTTAGGTTAAGTTGTGGTTGTGGTAGTGGTTGGTCGTGATTGTGGTAAATGTCTATTGATGCATCGCAGGATAGCCGTTCAATGAATGAATGAATGTAGATAGTTGATAAACGGAGTAGGAAATATGCACAAAACAATATCGGAAATCTATGGTACTGTATGGATGGAAAGAATGAAGGATAATGAATGACTAGGTGAGTTACACCTGAAATCTGCAGGGTCCACGCCCGTCTTAAAGGCGTCCAGCTGCATTCTAAGAAAGGAGAATTAGCCCTGTCCCGGACTAAACATGGCCAGTCAGATGGACCTACAGACGCCACGGATGGACCCTCCGGACCCTCTCCGCTGAGATGGGGCGATGGCAGCCGATTGGCTTCCCGCTCTGACTTAGGGTCCAGTGTTGATGTGATTGCTGGGTTCACCGCGTTGCTCAGAACCCTGTTGCACGCTTTTTCTCTTTCAAGTTAAAGAATGATGGGCGGTTTTGGCTGTGCAGGTTGGTTGTGTTTGGGGGCTGGCAAGCAGGCTCGGACTAGTGGGGATAGTGTAGTTTTACTTTTTCTGCTGATGAATACCATGTCCGGATGGAAGTCTTGGTATTCACTAGTTGTGATGTATTTGCTAGATATTGGAATGTGAACATGAAAGAAACAAACGATTCCATTTCCCTAAACTCAACATTTCTAATGTATGTCAAAGTAGTTATAAGTGGTAGGACAGGCAGCCGGTGACACCCGCATGTAACACAGCAGCAGTCACGTTGCGGCTGTACCCTGTTGTAGTATCGACCGGACATCCAACCAACATTGAGGGCAGAATGATAAGCTGCTGATCTGCCAATCTAAGCAGCCAGTCTGTATTGAGAAATGGGGGCGTCAGGTCAGACAAGTTAGTCTGGAGCGGTGTCTTGTCTTGACTCTTGAGAGTCGTGGCCGGATTGGGTGGTCTATTTTTAGCTAAGTTTGAATTGGGTTGGGTTGCCTAATGGGTGACAGAACCTACACAGTTACTACTGAAATCTTCCTTGCAGTAGTTTATCGGTGCCTTTATTGAGGTCTTACGAAATGAGTGTGAATTTTGGCGGAATATCTTCAAACACAATGACGAGTCTCTTGCCTCCCTCCTAAGCAATTTGTACAATTCACACCTCACAAGGCAAAGCCCAGACCCTGTAGATCTAACCAAAGTCTAAGACAGTCTGACATGACTTTGCTCTGATTGGTCCAAGACATATAATGTCTCCATCGCAGCGGTAGCTAAGAACCACTGTATCCGGTGATCAGCGGGCAGGAGTGTCCACCGCGCAGGGCACGGGTTACTGAGAAAAGGCGAGTGTCTGGTTCGGGAGATTCCTGGTGGGGGGCCAATAAATACGAGAGTTTCATTTCCCTGAGATAGATGGCCTGGTGGGGGCCGCTTGCGGCGAAGGGAGATTAATTCGTGGATAGGTTGCCGTTTGGGGCCGGGAGTTCACCTAGGTACTGATTGGGGAAGATTGGTATGCATCAACTTGGCATATGGCCGCTGTCAAAACTGCTTATGCTTGGGGGCTTCATGTTTCGTCTGTTTCAGAAGACAATTTGAAGCAGCAGCTTCAATCCTTCCATGGGGCCATTATGGCTGTTTCTCAGTTTGCTGACGCCCCTCTTGCCGTGTTGGGCGGTGCGGCTGAGTTCTGTCCGCCTTGCCATACGACGGGCAATTTACTACCGCCTTAGACAGGCACAACGAGATGTAAATGGACAGTGTTAGAGGCTGCTGGGAGAAGATCCTTTTATATATTGTAGGAGTAGCCTTTAGTAGGGAGGGTAGTTCCGCCATGAGGTTTGTGGTTCGTGGAAGAAGATGATAGTACAATTTAGCCATGATCATGCTTGAGATACTCGTAATGTTTGTACTCGGACTATGATTATCATTGTGTAGGTGATTTATGCTATGGATTGAATTTCTCCAATGGCCTAACATGTTATGCATCTCAGTTTCAGGAATGTTGATTGATTTCAGGAATATCGCAGATGATAGAAGGAAAGCAGAATCCAGGCAGCAAGGCTACACAAGCCGGAAGATCAGGCACCAACAAAAGACAAGCTTTTCTCACCCAATCAAAGAAGGCACTACCAGCGGGGCAGACCCACTTCCCTAAACAGAAACGGGAGATGAGAGTGACACTCATTTCCTAGTTCATAGTGATAACGAGCTTGTCAATGACTCGCTCTCTTCAGTTACTATTCGATGGTCGATGTCATGTAATTACCAATTGTACTTCACTGAGGCGGTAATTTGACCCGTCCGCTCGACCTATTCCGACCGGAGCTCCGAGTTGGGGTGTATGACCAAATGGTGATGTTGGCTATAGCCGCAAATAAATAACTTCTCGTCTGCTCCATCCAACTTGGGCTACGTGAATATGGCGTACTTCTGTGGCACTGAAATTGGAAACTGGAGAACTGGGATTAAGTAGCATTGTTGTCATCTCCAGAAAATCACAAATCGAGACTGAACGATTCTAACCAGAATGCTGACCTTGTCTACCATGAGGCTAAAGAGATCACTGGCAACTCCAGCCAAAGATTCACCTCTGAATCCTGTCATTGAGCCTCTACAGTTCTCCCTGGGAATTTCCAAGCAGCGTGTGTGTGTGTGTGTGTGTGTGCGAGTGAGAGTCAGCCACACAAACGATGTGTTTTTCAAGTCCATTTTGGCGACATGGTGATTTCGGGGTGATGGAATTGTGGACAACTACCGCTGTCCCGACAGGGACAGCATGATTTGATGCTTCATACAACGCAAACACAAAGAGACTACCGAGATGCTATACAATGCAGTCTCTAATGCTCGAAACAGTACCCGTTGTTTCATTCACAATACATATCAACACTGTCTCTTCTGGGTAGGAGCAATAAGGAAAGCCTGGTGGTAATAAGTACAATCGCACTTATTATGCTGTTCAGAAAGAACATGGTCGGGGCCAATGAGAAAAATTGCCATGGTAAGACTGGAAGAGCGAGAATTTCCAGTCACCTTGGGGAAAGAATAATCCTTGTCTACAAGTGGCAGGGGTGAATGCCGCTAAGTCTCTAGCCTCATGACCACCGCGTACGACACTCACCCCCGCCTGTTTGAGTTCTGAAGTCCTGCGGCGACTCCTTCCATAGTGTATTTCCGTCCATCTTCTATTCTCGATCACCGATCAATCCACAGCGTCTTTTGTTTGCATTTCTCCCTACTTATGGAGCAGGTCCCGCTCGTTAGCAGCAATGCTACTACAGCTTGCGATTTCCCGGGTGCCTGTGTACGTCCGATCATAGCCCTCTGCAGAGTAAGAAATACTAACCCCGCTGTGTGTACAGTGCCTCGCCCTGGCTACAGTTCTAGGACAGGACAAGGTTTCCTTTCCCGACACTGCTGCTTATGAAGCGTCCCAGGGATCGTACTTTGCCCAGCAGAATAGCGAGCTTCAGCCCTCGTGTGTGGTGTTTCCAGACTCAGCCGATGAAGTATCCATTATCATCACCAGCATATTAGCAATCTCGTCCGGTGTACCTGATTATCAGAAAGCGGGCTGCCAGTTTGCGATTCGTTCTGGCGGCCACAATTCCTTCGAAGGCGCATCCAACATCGAACATGGCGTCACCATTGATCTGCGCGCTCTCAACTCTATCCAGGTGTAGGATGCTCCATCACAGAATGATGGAGATGAAGGTGCGCAAGACAAGGAACCACAAGACACCGTCTTTGTCGGAGCAGGCACCACATGGGGCGAGGTATATGCACTGCTGGATCCGTTGGGCCTCTCGGTGGCAGGAGGACGCGCTGCACAGGTCGGAATTGGCGGACTGACCCTCGGGGGCGGCATCTCGTACTTCTCACCGCGGTACGGGTGGACGTGCGACAGCTTGGTCGGTGCAGAGGTTGTCTTAGCTAACGGAACGATTGTATATTTGAATGAGGCACAACATCCGGAGTGGCTGGCAGCGCTACGCGGGGGCGGTACCACCTTTAGGGTTGTCACAGGCTTCAATCTGCGGACTTTCCCGCAGGGCCCTATATACGGAGGGTCTATCTACCACAGCACTGAGACTATTGACGCCCAAATACGCGCCTTTGCTGAGCTGGCTGACCCTAAAGTTGGTCCAAGCAGCTACGACGAGTATGCTTCGCTGATCACAAGTTTTGGGTTCGCCGGAGGCCAGGGGGCTGCTATCGTGAACAGTGTTGTGTATACGGGGAAGCTGGAGGAGCCTAGGGATGATGGAGTGACACCGCCGCCAAACGTGTACAAAGCGCTCCTCGACATCCCGCAATTGTTCACCACAGTGCGCGTGGCACCGATGCATGAGGTGGCCATTGAGCAAGGGTCGTTTTCACAGAGCGGAAAACGGTAAGAGAAGGTTCTAATCATCTAATCTTATAGTGCTAAAACGACAGTCAAACAGACAGCTAAGTGTAGTCGCAACGCATGACGTGACCCTTCCTATGTTAAATGCAACCTATCTCAGGTGGAACACCAGCCTGGCATCTGTACAAGAAATCCCAGGCATCATGTGGTCAATCTCCCTCGAGCCACTACCTCCGGCTATTTACGCACGGGCACCTCTCGGTCATAATGCTATGGGGCTGTCATCATCCGAAGACCCCGAGCGATCACTGGTGGTGACCTTACTGAGCGCCACTTGGGATAACGCGGCTGACGATACCCGGGTGGAGGAAGCCGCCAAAGCGCTCTTTTCATGTATTGAAGCTGATGCGCGCGCATTGCATGCATATCACCCTTTTATCTATCTAAATTATGCAGCGCAATGGCAGGATCCGATCGCTAGTTATGGAACTGAAAGCGTTGAGCGGTTGCAACGCATCAGCCGTGAGGTTGATCCAGCGGGAGTGTTCCAGAACATGGTTCCTGGAGGATTTAAGATACCGAAGTGAAACACAATTGTATTAGGTTACCCCTTACTTACCTGTTCTCTTCGGTACAGACTTTAATCCAAATACGCTTTAGAGCTCGTTCAACTCACATGAACCTCAGAGTAGGCAATATGTAAGCGCTCACCACTGCTTCAAAACACCAAACCCGCAAGCCATCACTACGTCTGCGAAGTCTTTACTGCAAACACGCCTGCTCAGCCAATTCAGTCGCTCGAATATGACATGGACCCTGAGAAACCTAACACAGACCCCATGTATGTTCACTACATTATTCTAGTCATATAATTATCTGGCACATACGACCACAGGGTGTGGAAAACAGGGCTTCCCGTCCGCTCAGCCGTACTTAAGCCACACGCCGGGAGGTTAGTAGTTGGGTGGGTGACCACCAGCGAATCCCTTCTGTTGTATGTCGGTGTTCACCCTTTTTTTGTGATTTGTTGGGCTTAGTTCCCGTGCCGCTTTCCCTTCACCCTGTTCACCCTCCTTCACCTGAACACTCAGCCTTCCCGCCTGAACCCCAATAAACCTTACCCAAATACCCCGCTTTGATTTGTGAAGCTGACGTGGCGGTTTCTCCTAATATATCACGTAAGTTAACGGGAAGGACTAACTACGCCTTGGATGTATGAGTTGCGGGATGAAATTAGCCAGAAACCGCTTACTGTTTCTTTATTCATGATCTTACCTTTTGGGGAAAAACCAATAAATATACTTTAGTATTGAAATTCAAAGCTGGCTGAAGAAGCTCTCCGAATATCTCTCTCCATCGGTTCTATACGAGTGACTCATGGGCCAAATCACATGACTTCATGTGCCAGAACTTTATATTCACCAGGCTTATCGGCGTCCCTGACACACTAGCCCACATCTTGAGTTCGGCAACTACTGTTGGCACGTGACCCTGTGCCTTGTGGTAGCTCCTTAACTTTGTCATCATTCGAAGAATTTTCGTCCCTTCCCAGGTACCATCCAAAAGACAAGCATCCGTCGCTTCACTCTGAGATCAGATGAGAGTAATATTGTTGACTGCGTTTGTGATGCGGGTGATGTCCTCTGCGATCGGCCGCAAGCTGTTTAGTTTGCCCCGGATCTTCTGTGCCGACGGTTGCTCCCCGAATTTTCTTAGCTAGTGTAATCACGCTATTCAGAAAGGCTTCCAAGAATTAGGCCGGTAGTTCGGCGCGTTTGGTGTTGTCAAGCTCCAGCAGTGCTGGGGCCTCGGCTATGATTTGGTTAGAATGCTCGGGGTGGGTCACGGCAGGACACCCGATACTGCAACGTCTACTACATTAGCGATTATTCAATCCAAAGTAACAATGAGGAGAAAAGGCGACAGAAACACCAAATTGGGACTGGGATTTCAAAGTGCACGGATTTTACCGAGAGAAGTACAGTCACTTCGGGGCGTTAGAGCACCTACTCCTTTGGTTTAACAATTTAGGCCTCGCGCATACTTCACAAAGCCATGATGCATATATTCTTTTTCTATAGTACATACTTCAATGCATAACATATATATTCAATACGAAAACATACTCCACAGCCTGAGTATTAGTATGACTTTGCTCTTCCAAGACTATATCAATGACTTATTAGCCCAAGGAAAGTGCGCTGAGGAAAGCCTGCGAACATTTCTCTTCTATTATCTTTGCCTATTGAGTGTTGATGGTATACGACTGCCTAATGAATACGTCATAAATAATAATTGGAATCGGCTATAGGTGCGGAGGGCGCTCTGCAGAGAGATGGATTTGGCCGGACGAGAATATCAGTGATCCGTGCCGTGGCTAGGTCTGTCCAACCGCTTTATCAGGGGCGTACAGTTTGCATCAACAGCGACTCGTAAGAGCTCATTGCGCCATTCACCCTGGTCCGATTTGTCTGGCATATACTTAACAAGGTCAAATACAGGTTCCCAATCTTGGCACCTTGGAGGGCGGTCACCCCATCTTCGTATGACGAGCCGAAAAAAATCAGGGTTCTGTAGCTGTTGGCCCAACCTATTGTCGAAAAACAGTATTCTGAGTCTTGCTATTTCTCCCCACCGGAGAATTTGGTCAGCAGCCCGCATAGCTGGGTCCTGCAGAAATTTGCCGTTGCCATAATCCGAGTTCTCAAGTACAACACGTAGCATGGTTTCTGAACCGTATAGGGATGTGATGCTGAGAGGGTCGTATAGGCTGCTTTCAAACTCGAACCTAGGCAAAATCACACAATCTGGGCGACAATTCTGTTGGATCCAGTTACGGAGTCGAAGGGAGCCTGCTTGGCATACATCTTCTATGCTAGCTAAGGTCGGGAGGCCTTCGTCGGAGGTGGCTCCGAAATGCTCCAGCCAGTGGCATGAAGCATATACAAAGAACTCACCAAAACCACGCTCGGTCGGATCATAGCGAATCATACTCTCTTCCCAAGTTTCCCAGCTGCAGTAGGGATTGTAGTCAGCTGGCTCTTCGTTATCCTCAAAAAGATTATCATCTTGGGGCAATTCTGCGATTGCCATTTGCTCCTGGGAAAAAAGATCTCTATTACCAATATCGTCCAAGAGGAGATACCTGAGACATATGTCCAGCATGAATGCGTTCAGAGTTCTAAGGCGCCGGGTTGAGATCAGTTGATCGGGTTCTGTCAGGGATATGCCTTGTGCAGAAGGTGGGTTGGACGACCATTTCTCCAATATAAACTCCTTCACTGACTGGTGTACAAGTCGGACTTGGCGTCTCTTCACGTCGCTCATATCGACGCGAGCAATGAATGGATGGATTAGACTCATGATTCTTTCGTGATCTACCAGACTTGCAAGAGCATCTACCGTAGTAACATGAGCTAGGCCCAGTGTTGCAGCCCATGCTAATTCCAGCAAGCTAAGAGGTCTATAAGCGACGGCGAGAAGCTTTAATGCCGTACTTGCAAGCTCTTGATTCTCAGGTTCGTCGGAAGTGCAACGCAAAAGTAACGTTTCATAGAGATCTGAAAGCCGCCTTGGTAATGGCATATTCTCCAAGAACCGTTGCATAGGGTCGATTGCTCTGATTCTGCGAACTTTGATAAGTTCCACTATCATCTTCGTCCATATGGCGCTCCCTCGCGCTGAATGAGACAATCTTTTTTGGACGAGTGCCTTGACATCCATCGATAGATATGAGAGCTGGTCTTGGACCAGTCTTTCAACCACAACCGTATCTCTCTCGGTATTTGCATCCAGCTCCATAACAGCTGTTTCACCCAGCTGCTCCAATATCTCCTGTTCAGGACGACTGGAAAGCAAAATTCTCAGAGATGGGACCTTTCCCGATAACATTTCCAGTAAATGCAGAAAGCTGCCTCGAGACGTCCGATCACACTCATCCAGGCCATCGATCACGAAGAAAACAGGGCGATCAGTCATTTCGAGCAGTCTTTCCATATATTCCCCCAATATCTTAAGACTTGTTGCTGGGTCGAATGTCCCAGATGCCTGAGCCTCTTTATACCACTCGAAAAAAGGCCTTTTCAAGCCTGGAAGCTGCTCCAGAAGCGATAGGATCAGTGCCGAGGCTATGTGGGTAGCCCTCCCTGTATTGTCATCCCGGCAGTAGTAATAGCATATCTTAGGCTCGGGCAGACGGCGTCTAATTCTCTCTCTCATCATGTCTACGAGATATGACATAGCAACAGTCTTTCCACATCCCATATCGCCAAGAATAACCAGTCGCTTAGTGTCAGATGCCGCATACCAATTGATGAAGTTAGGATTTTCAAGCAATTGTTCGCAAGCTGCATCAGCTCGGAGGTCTTGAAGGTAAGCATGGTACTGGCTTTGATGGCTCATCTGGCCGCTCCCTAACCACTTAGAGACTTTGGTCTGATAAGCGCCTACTCGACAAGTCTAATTGCATAACTTACTCTCGTGGTCATAAAGCATTGCTTTGATGTCCTCCACAATCTCCCATGTTGCTTTCTGTATGAGGTTCCGGAGGGTATCGGAGTACTTCAGAAATTCTTGGACAATATTCGGAAGGCGATCGGTCTCTAGGACCATTTTGATTATCAACTTTGTCCCTTTCCGGCTCAGCATTTCATAAGCGACTTTATAGAACTCAAGCAGCTTCTGGTACACCATGACAAGCGCCTGAACGGGTTAGATAGATTTCATGTAAAGTAACAACAGTAATACCTTGTGGATGTCTTTTCTATCAGCTTTCTGGCCGAGCGTGTCACAGTCATCGATGTAGGAGAGTTTCTCCAGCATATCCGCAATCTGCCTTGCAAAGTCCAAATCAGCAGTCGCAAAACTTATGGCAATCTGTGTCTGTGTCAGCACGGAAAATCATATCCACTGGGGCGGGTATGTATATGTAACAATTTACCGCAGTCACACTTTTGATCAAACCAACAACTGTTGTTGCCGTTGGTTCAATGTTTGCTAGAGGGGTCGCCAAATCCAGTAATAGCTTAAATCTCTCAAGGGGTACCTGTAAGGACCGCAACCATTTCACCCCTCTGTCGAAAGCGGATTCATGAGCCACTTCCCGCTCTAATTGTTCCAGCTCTGTAAATAGCTGCGTGACACTTCTCCCTTCCAAGATAACAATATCTATTTCGTCTCGAAGGTTTGCCACTGCCTCACTGTAAGCCGCACTCCAAAGGTCTGAAGAACCAATGACGCTGTCAAGTTTGTCGTCTGGGTTCGATTGATTCTTCGTCAGGTTTTGCTCAGTAATATCCCCTTGCGGAGATCTCGGCCTTATGTGACCCAGTCCATCCTCCCTTGTGTGCTTCAAGGTTTCCGAGGTATTACTAGTCGAAATAAGAAGCGATTGATCGGCGTTGCTGGTCTCAAGTAGAGCGAGTTGTGGTAGACTGCTTACCTGGTTAGCCCAATCTGACTGATAGGATGTAATACTTACCTGGTTGAAACTCCCAAGTCCCCTGGAGCATCCTGTAATGAGCGAGGGTAGATCTTGTCCGTAGCATTGCGAAACGGGCTTCGAGATTTGTTCCGAAGTCTATCTAACCGCTGACGTAATTTACGTCGAAATTGGTCTTTGTCAGTCGATGGATGCGCCATTGTCCGATGATTAGCATGCGAAAAAGTGTGAGAATCTGGGCAACACAATCATTCCTTTATCAAAGCAACTGGGCTCCCAGTAACTAGAATTGATTCGGCTCGGTTTGAGACTGACTTTACCCCTCACCATGGGCGGGACTTCCCTGGCTGGGCCCACGGTCGGGCTGTGGACCAATGCCCATGGTCTTCCGTCTACAGTCTTCAGGTTTAAGTAATACCTTATACAGGGAATCCTCCAGTTCAAGTAATTCAAACCACCGGTCTGAATTGTTTATACTCACAAACTGCTTAATATCCCGAGATTTCTAAGAATCAAGTCTCTTCCTTTATATGATTAAATCCAATTCCGAAAACATCGGTTCACATGGTCGAATGAATACTAATAAAGTAACCAAATAAAACGCTTTGGGTATTACTGTAGTGTGGTAACGGCCCAGTAATGGTAAAATATACTAGAATCATGTTTTTGGTTAACTGGCCAATTATAAGACATTTGTCCTAGTATAGGGAATCCTCCACTATAAGCCACTCTGGGAGCGGTCAGAATTATTTACTTATATCCGCGGTTTACGGTACCTAAAAGCCGAGGGTAATACGGTAACACTGGATAAGTCGTCTTTCCTAACGGGGCTTGGGTCGGGCCTGGTCTCAACACCGGACCCGCACTTTCGCGAGCACGCAGTAGCCCCGCCCCTCTTACATAACAATTCTTATCTCTTCCCACTACTTGGACGCGGAAATGCCAGGACATGGTTGACACCCCCCCTCCCTCCGTCACCTACTTTCTAGATCCTACACGAGCAGTACGTTTGGGAATACCACGCATCACGCAGACGCTAACGGGGCTTCTGGCTAGGTCATCCTTGGGCCGTAATCGGTCGCTCCCAGCTTCGCTACCCCTCGTGGACGCGTTGCGATAGGAGCACCCAGAGGTACAACCGCAAGATTGTTTGGATCTCCAAACCGACTGCCGTTGAGAGACAATATATTACCCAACATCTCCAGGAAAGGAAAGGGACATTACGTCCGAGTGTAGGCCTGGAAGTAACTGGACACAAGCGTCAAATTGCTTGCTCGGCATAGTACGTCACCGGCGAAGGCATTGAACCTCTCCCACAATGTCGGGTGCGAGATCGGAAAGTGTTCACTCTCGGCCAACAAACTCAGCTTACGATGGCTTTTTCAGCCTCCCTGTCGAACTTCGTCATACTATTTACAGGGAAGTGCTTGCTGTGCAACATCCACTCTTCCTTTTCCAGGATCCAGGTTGTCCGATAGAGACTTTTACGCCAGAGAGACCTCACCAATGGCTGGCATTACTATATACCAATCGAAAAGTCTCTATGGAGGCGAGGGCCGTTCTCTATGGTGCAAATGAGTTTGTCCTCGAGGATGTCTCCAAATGCCAAGGCAGCCTCCTAGATTCTTTCCTCACTTGTATCGGGCCTGTGAATGCAGGTTTTCTGTCGCGCCTACGCGTGAACTTTCCAGTCATCGAGAGCATAGACGATATATCAGGTGACATTCGACTCAGAGAAGATGGCCTGCAGAGCTTGCGACTCCTCCAAGACAAGTGTACCAACCTGAAAATACTGGAAACCCTCGTTTACGGCCAGGTTTCTCGTCTGATCACCGAGAAAGAGATCAGTAACCACTCCTTCCGGAGTGTACTTCTGAGCATTAATACACAATTTAGAGCTATCGCTTCTCTGAACAAAATCATTGTCAAGTTCTGCAGTGGGTCTCCAGCCTCTTCAACCACAGAATTTATGAAGCAACTAGGCTGGATTGTGTTACTCGGTAATAGATAGGCTTGCCGTAGTGCAGTCACCGCGGGACAGCGGATATCTCCGCTCGGAAACAAAAAGTGAGAGGTCGAATCTGGAAACGGCGCAAATCACCCAGGTTCCAATCATATGCTCGGCAACTGACCTTCCATACAGACGCTGTTGGTCCGGCTTGCATTCAGCTGGCGCTCAATTAGCTGTGGTATTTGGGATCATGCACACTAAGGCTTTTGAATAAACGACTCATTGATTATCCTCTTAAATTTGCGTGCTTTATATACATATCCTCTTTCTTTCTACATAGCGATCTAGAGAGGAGCAAAGCCAGGAAGATATCGGAACACAAGACAATAAGTATAAGGGATCGGTAGCTACCTCTACAGCATCATGTACGGCCCACAAGTTCGAGATTAGCGTACCTGGAAATATAGTGGCTAGGGATTCTAGAGCGCCACGTTGGTGTGCGCTCACCCTTCATAGACCCGTTTGGAGTACAACAAGCAGATGAGCTGGACAGGCATACGTCGCTGCCATCCTATGCTCCAGGTGATGTAACGTCGACATGGATACTGGCTCAGCCTCGCATGGGATGAGGGAGTTGGTGAGTATAAACATCCCTTCGAAGTCCCAGGTTGCGGGCCAGTCTGTACTTCATCTTAGCATGTATCTCTCAGGCCCAAGAACCTGTCAGCGCTCCTACGCTAATATCATCGAGAGATGTCACTATCTGGGCCTTCTGCTGTTACAAGTTCTGTTTCTGAGGAAGTTCAGACTCGGTTCCTCCACCATAGTCAAATCTCTGAAGCTATTGGAGGGTTGCCGACTTTGCCATATCCACTTCCTGGATCAAGTTTTGGTAAGCAGCAGCTCTGCAGTCAAATCAGCAAGTAATCTAAAGTTCCTCAGACAACTCGATCGACATTGATGCTCTCAGAAACACGGGAAATGATAATAGTATTATCTCTCATGATTTACAACGCCCCGGTGACAGTATTGGTATGTTGCAGCACAAACTCCGCCGGAGAAGATAAATTGATGATGGACTAGAAAACCCAATTGATCTTGATACAGTTTCCGCAGCAACGAGTGATGTAACTGAGCTCATTGCCTCCTTACCGGTAAGCCTGGCCCAGACTGAGCTTATGCCAGACGGTGAGGAATAGAAATACCCTCAGAGTAATACATTACTAAAAAAAGATGCAGGCCGGTCCCTAGAAACATACTATGAGTGCAAGATATGTTATTGTAAGGTAGTAGACCTGGTGCTAGGCTGTGGCCATACCTACTGCTATAATTGCTTCAATAACTTCTTCCACGACTCTGTTCTCAGGCAAGCTAGAAGAAGACAAGCATTGGCGTATGAGTATCTGGCAGGCCGACAATGCAAGCCATTATGTCCTTATTGTATGGAGTACTTCCCGGGCAGTATACGGACCCTGAGGATCGTGATTATCTCAAAGGCTTCTATGTCCCACTAAGTTGCCAGGAACCGGGAAGGTTGCATTGCTTTATCGATGACTACATGGTGCAGGGCGTCAGATTGAGCATGCTCTGATTCTGAATACTCTCCACAGACTTTCATTTTTCCCAGGCTTATTGCTATTGGTATACTGTTATGTATCGTCACCAGTTGTGCTACATATATGTATCGGGGAATGCAATTTATGACATAACCCGCGAAGACCAGAATTGGCCTGCGAGTACCTAGCCAGTCGGCAGTATGAAACGTCGTGGCATTTTGTGGAAAGTGTCTCTCTGCCCGCTATGCACCAAGGACGAGATCATCTCACCGGATTCTATGTCACTCTGTGCTGCTCGGGGCCCGAAAGCTCCTATTACTTTACATGAATACATAGTGTAGGGTATCCAAATGAAGATGCTGCGACTCTTTGGTGCTGTCTTTCCTGCAGCGTTCTTTCTGGATGCCGCTTTCTACGCGACGGATGTCTTAATGTCTCTGTATCTATTGGTATTCCTCTTCATCATAGATATTCTAACGACCAATGCCAGAGCAAGTCGGATGACAGGCGCCTTGTGGCTACACAAGAGCTTTACAACCAGCTCTATACTGGAATACACAGTATACAATCGAGATCATAATATAAAGAGGTAGAATGATTATTGTACTAGTCCTTACTCTCTGTTATTAGCACTATTAGAAGACATAAAATAGTATCAGAGTTGCCCGAAAACATCCATACAATCGCATCCTATAGCGTATTAGCAAGAATATGTAATGCCATAAATGTAACCTACACCGTAGGTTATATCGATGAACTTTGCCTCTCTTTCGCCAGGAGCCTCACACGCTAGAGCGCTGACATGAGTAACAAGTTGTCTATGACCCTTGCGTGCCTAGGACCAAAACAGTGGAGGGAACGAGTACATATAAAGTGGTAATGCTTTCGTAGCTATATCGCTCTTCCGAGCTTCTTGGGAGATACAGATAGCATCTTCCCGCTAGCACAGTTGGTTTTGTAGCATATATGTGGAGAATTGATGGGAGCGTTAAAAAAATCAATTTACTTAGTATCACTGGTGATAACTCCTCCTATTTCACCTGGTTCCACCTATTATACCTAATAACTGTGTCTATACCATTCCACTTGGAATCCAAGCTGTTCAGGCTCACCCGAAGATAGCAGATCAAGAAGCCCGCAGCGTACCAAGTCCTTACAAGTTGCGTTCTTCGACAAGTAATCATCTGATGAGTGGTTCTGGTTCGGCACTTCGCAGCTGTTACTATAAGGTTTTCGTAAGTCAACGCAATGGACTTCGGTTTGTATGGATAAGTAGCGGGACGAGATTAGCCAGAAACCGTTGACTGTTTTTTTTATTCATGACCTCAAATTTTGTCAAAAGCATGAATATACTTTAGTAATGAAATTTAAAGCTGGCTGAAGAAGCTCTCCAATATCTCTCCATCGGTTCTCAAGTGACTCATTCATTGACTATATCACATGACTTCATGTGCCAGAACTTTATGTTCACCAGGCTTATCGGCGTCCCCGACACACTAGCCCACATCTTTAGTTCGGCGACTACTGTTGGCACTCTGTGCCTTGTGGCGTAGTTCCTTAGCTTTTTGTTGCTGTTAGAAGTTTTTTGGTCCCTTCTCAGATACCAATCAATAGACAAGCATCCATTGCTTCATGCTGAGATTAATCATGAGCCCCTACAAAGAGCAAATAGAAAGGTCCACACCTACTTACAAACCACACTTCTACCTGACTACACCGGGAGGAACTCGGGGGTTGCCCTCTAAAGATCCACCATGTACTTAGTCTTCCTCTCTTTCTCTCATTAGTGCTGTTACTCCTCGTAAATATTGTCTAGATGTCTTTCCCATCTGTATAGTATCCTTATAACTGGACGATTTAACGAGTTTGAGATTAGCCCTCTGTGTCAAATGTATGAAATGTAATGAACAGTGTGGATGTCGACAGCTCGCCAATCTAGCCCATCCAAACAACGACCAACTAATACTGGAGACTTGAAACAGTCAGTGTTAGTATATTTTGAAATCACAAATTTTCCACGGCCTATAAAGCTCGATCTTCATACGCCCGATAGATCATCTCCGATTAACATTTATTTACTGCGTAGAGTATGACCCCTCTGAAGAGAATTCCAGCATTACGTGTTCTGAATATAGATTATTTCAACCCCTTCTCCTCAGGCAAGCCGCAGACAAGCCTGGAGTGGTGTGAAAGCCTGAAAAGCACGATTATAGTCATCGAAGTGAATAGGTTGCATCTAGCGCAACTTAATCATCCAAGGATGTCAGTCAATAATTGGTCAAGCTTTTTGTTACCAAATAAGTAAGTAGACAAGAACGCTGTTGCGGGTGTGCCATTCTGTGCCGGTGGCTGTATCCCAGAACTCGATACTGTAAACTGGTTCGCGGGATGCCATCATAAGTTTGGGCCAGAAAGGCTACTGAGCCGACGGAATCAGGGTAGCCTGATAGGCTATCGGGCTTAGAGCCCCTGAGCTCATACCAACGACTGGTGGAGACGAGTGGTTGCCTATCACATCAGTCACTGCTTGCAGCGGTGCGTAGCCGCACGAATCGTAGGCCCCATTGTGCCGCCCAGCCTTGTCTGGTGCCTGCAGCCAGCACACATGAGACGGGGTTGTGGAGGCTCTGCTATTCGGCGTCGACAGGTGCGAGCACGTGCCCGAGCGGACTACATCCGCCCAGGAAGCGAATCATTGGGTGTGATGGGAGCGGGCGATGAGAGTAATATTGTTGACTGCGTTTCTAATGCGGGTGATGTCCTCTGCGATCTGCTGCAAGCTTTTCAGTTTGTCCAGGATCTCCTGTGCCGACGGTTGCTCCCGGGTTTCCTTAGCTAGTGTAATCATGCTATTCGGAAAGGCTTTTGTCAAGCTCCAGCAGTGCTGGGGCCTCGGCTATGATATGGTTGGAATGCTCGAGGTGGGTCAGGGCTGGATACCCGACACTGCAACGTCTACCACATTTGAGCGTTATTGGCAGACTTGCGGCGAGATAACGACCGCTAGCTTGTATCAACCAAATCCAACTGAAATTATTGCTTTGCCATCCCAACAGTGGCTTTCGGAGGAGGGAGGGGGGAAGATATACGATGAACGGAAGACTGGACAAGATACGTTACATAAAGCAGTACTACTTGTTTCAAACTGTGTACACACCAGGGCTCTCGCTTCAGCGGAGAGTGTCGAAAGATTCAGTAAAACATCGCCAGGGGTGATGGAAAGGGGTTAAGCTAGACACAGAAACATAGAGGAATCAAGAATGAGAGAAGACGTTGTGAAGCTTTGTTCGACGTATTTCGCAGAGCATATTTCTGAGCAGCGGACACGATTTGTAACGTAGCCGTAGACTCTTGGGACTGAAGCTTCACGAAGGGCAGAAGAAAGTGAAGTGTAGCGTCTGAATCGATATTCTGCCTATACAGCCGATAGTTTTCCCCTGAATCTATCAAATGGCCAAGTGTTCGCAGCACTTCTGGGCGCCTTCCGCTTAAACGTATGCCCTGAAGGAGCCCAGTGAACGAGTAAAAATCGCGCAGGCGATAAAATTTCTGCGGTCGGTTTAGTATGAACCAAGGCAAGGGAAGGAGATAATTACCAGCGCCAATTGATCCAACTTTAGATACAAAGCCGGTTCAGTAGCTGAGCATTCCTCTGCTGCTCGGCAAATACTGTTCCACCACCTATTCAGAGCTGTCAAAGGGTCGCCGCTACCCTTCTTCACCATTTCGACGGTGAGCTCCTGAAAGAGGGAAAGAGCTGCTGCCGTAAGCTCTGCTGCCAGTGCCTCCAGTTCCTCCAGCTCCGTGTGGTAGAGTTTGTCAAGAAATGCAGTTTGAGTATTGAAGTCTTGCGAACAGACAACTTCTGGACTTCTGTAGAAATTTCGGAAGCGTACGGCCAGAGCTTCAAGTTGGCAATGGATAAGGGCGATCGGGTTGTCTTTTGAGAGGACTGCTTTTATCGGATCCGTGATAAATCGAGCATCAATGTTGTATTCCGTGTATCGCCGATTACAAACGCATTCACACGCATGATACACCGCCCCGGACAGAAAGGGGTCTGCGGTAAATTTCTCTAAAGTCTTTGAGGCGTCAGGATATGCAGTGGATGGATAGGAAGCGGAAGGGTGATACATTTGTCAAGCCTAGATACTTCTCAAACTCGTTCAAGTGCCTTCTGAGGTAGTAATACAGAATCACGCTTAGCCCATCATACTTAGACTCAAGCGCCTTGACAATAGGTGATGAGCGATCCCTTGCTTCTTGCACCCAGTCCTCGAATTGAACAAGAGGAAAGTACCTTTCACTCTCGTCAATCAGTTGCTGCGCAATTGTGTTGGCATCGGAATCCCATGACGAACGCGGTTGCCACTTCCAACGAATGGAGTCCAGTGCTTCTGGTATCTTGGGTACGTTTGTACCGGATGACTCAAAGCGGAATCCAATCAACTGCGAATGAAATTGTGGCGGCTGGCTAGATGGTTTTTCGCCCGTAAGCAAAACAGGTTCGAGTTCTACATCATAGGCAGTTGTGGCAACGCTCAACGAAGATCGCTCGCAAGGTAATAGAAAGATCATGGTGAAAAGAAATCTAGCAGAAGATTCGAACTGAGGTAGTAGACGAGCATTCTAGCAGGAATTGTGGTACGTTTATATGGAATACTTGATGCCGGCGCCGCAATAAGTAGCAAAGGGATTGCAGAAAGTTCTATAGGGGACAACACAGTAAAAAGGCGGAGATTGCAGAAAAATACAGGGAGACAGCAGATTTGAAGATCCAGGCCTTGATCTGGACTGGGAGGACACCGACCTCGGCAGTGGCTGCATCTTACTGGTGGATATGGTTGGGTGTTCAAACAGGTCACACCCTCTATCCTATCAGGCGAGAGGCTACCCATAGTGCACTGTCCTTCCTGCTTTACGGCACATCCAGCACCCGATTGAAATAGGGGCCGTCGAGGTGTCCTCCCCTCCGACCTGCGTCAAGGAAATCTACTCCTTTTTCTGCCCTCGTCAAGCTGTTCACTTTTCCTTGAAAATGGTCAAACAAGCTCGACTTCCTCTTCTACTTGCAGAAGCATTGCCTTGTCGCCTAGACCGTATTCAGGCCAAATTTACGGAGCAATGCAAAGATCTGAAACCGGACGCCTTTCTCCAGCTTACAGTTCTTCTCAGCCAGATTGAACACATAGTTGGAATTCATTACACACCAGGAGTTTCAACATCAGCTAGCACAAAACCTACTTGCGTCGTCTGCGGCCGATCATACTCAAGAATATCTTCCCTGAACTCTCATATCTCGCTAGCCCATCAGTATCTGCGGCGGATCATTGAAGCCAGATCTTGCAATTCTTGCGACAATGAATTCGACTCCCCAAGGCAACTTGTCTACCATGAGAGATCGATTCACAAGGCAGCGTATCTGTCCAGAGCAGACTTTATCTGGCCAGGATTTGAACAACTGAACTCAAGAGAAGGTGGGAGTGACCGTGCATTGACAAGACTGGCGAATAGATGCTAATTTATCGTTCCAGCGCAGAAGTCTTTCCTGAGAACCCTGGCAGGCGATGAGGAAGAGCCAAAAGTTTATGAATTTGTGGGGGAAGCAGCTGACACAAAACGGACAACTTTAGAGCCGGGGGAAGCGGTAGAAGGGAGACGTTTTGATGAGCAATATTCTATCAGCGGTGACGGACATTTGCAATACGATTTAGGGTATTATGGGGATATAGACTCCTGGTTACTACCGTATTCACCGGCTTGTAACGGATCCGTCTGATGTCTCCATGTTTCTTGAGCGGAAGTACTACACATCCCTAGTCAATCAAACGGTCGTTGTTGCAAATATACTATCTCGGCCAAAATTCCGGCCTGTCCTTGAATGTAAGGTATTCTCCAGTCCTTCATCCATCCCGCAACACAGATGCTGTTTTCCGCCATCGTTAGAGACTTCGTGAGTAGAATGTCAGAATGACTTACATATCGGTTCCGCTTAGCAAAACGCTTTTCCGTAAGTGTTCGTTTGGAGTGAAATATTCGAATATCCAAGTAGAATTGCTTTGACCACCGAGGTGAAACACGTTGATGAGTTTAAGATCGGGCAAACCGCTGGATGGCACGAAGAGGCTGTTGCTTTTATTCATTTCGCGCTTTCGAAAACGGCCCGGAAGATATGTGCCTTCGTCCACCCGGAGAAACTGCTTAACGGCCTGAACAATTAGCCCAGAAGCTCTATAAACTCTTGGTATTCTATACAGACATCATTATGCTCGATTTGCCTCTGCTCTATTGTGGCATCGAGGAAAGTTTGATTTTGCATCACAATCCAGCCGTCCACCATGAACTTTCTTCGCGTATCGATAACTTGTCCCTTGTCGCGGACAGAAACAGAATCAACTGAGCCATCGCGAAAAAGGAAGCTGACGACTGATGAACTCATATTGCTCGCTGGTTGCTGTATCGTTGACCCCGCCAGTCGTGTGCGGGGCAGATTCATGAATGTCGGAAGGGCGGACAGCACGTGAGAGTGGGCGAAGAGGGACACTGGAGCGACTTTCTCGAGTCAGGAAAGGAAAGGAACATCCAGTTCTTCGTAGTGGAGCACTCACCACTTCCAGCTTGGCAGCTAATCCATATCTCATTATTATCCGCCATAATGACAATAAAATTTTGTCTTTGATTGGTTTATTCACTCTAGGACGCCAAAGATGAACAATATATAAGTGGAAAGGATGGGAAATGGAAGGTAGTCGTCGGGTGGAAGCAATGTGAAGACTTTGGGAAGTTCAACGGTCAGGTTTTCTCCCTCAATCTCAATTCTGCGGATAAAGCGAGAGAAGTAATTGCAGTATGTTTTTTCTAGGCGACTATAGATAATACTTTGAGCAAAGGCCTACTATAAATCGTTACGTCGCAAAAATACTGAATACGTTTGCCGATTACGAAGAGGACAGGGCAGGATTAGGCAACAGCGCAGAAAGTACAAGAGTGATTGCAGTATTAACCAGGCAGAAAACGGATAATATTCTGAGCAAAGGCCTACCATAAATCGGCACGTCGCAGAAATACTGGATACGTTTGCAGATTACGAAGAGGATAAGGCAGGTGCAGAAGGTTCAAGAGAGATTGCAGTTATTAATCAAGTGGTTATCCTATAATCAAGTTATCTCATTGGATGAGCCGTACGTTACCATTAACTAGTGTTCATGCTAAATACATAGTTGGCTCACGGCCAAGGAGGTGGTTCATCGCATGCCTTCTTTGGCAGCAAAATTAGTCTACTCCCACTCCCGTCCCTACTTAGTATCATAGCACCACCCTTCAAGGAGAGGAAGTGTACATTATCCCGTACCACTTACTCAAATTGTAGGGGGACGCTACCGCGACACCGGCCAGGCTGCCTCCACACCAGCCTCCGCTTACGCCACATCCTTCCGCCTACCTTAGTAGGTAAGGCTCGCTCCCTATAAGGTAAGGCTTGCTTTTCTGAGCCAGCACAATAATACCGCCTACCCGTTTTGAGGCAGTAGTTTATTATCTTAGGCAGTACAACTGGTGTCTCAAGCAAGAATAACTCTATATTAGGAAAGCAGTAATATTACACTGGCTTTAAGAAGTGGGCCTTATCTTATAGGGAGTGAACCTTACCTACCAAGGTAGGCAGAAGCATGTGGCATGAGCGGAGGCTGGTGTCGCGGTAGCGCCTCCCAAGTTATAAACTCATCTGTGTGATGCAATGCGGAACAACTCTACTAGTACATGTTTGCCTTAGAAACAAAGTAACAACTGCAACCAGCCCGCAACCTTCCGCCATAATATCAGTCTTCTAATCTTCCGACATGTTACATTAATGCCCATGCGATACGTGTTGCACTCCTCATCATTGATACCCGAAGTGGGGCAAGGGGCATCTTCAGTTGTGCAATATATCACGTGACATATCATGACACATGTTTTCCTCTTTATAAGTGGTTTAGACTCAACACCCACCACAAGATAACGATGACTCGACACATTTATATACACACTATATGATGAAGCTCTTGGTTGTATAAATTTATAGTGCTGTGAGTCAGGTTATTGCAAGCACTATTTCGTTGCTAAATATAGGAAGGTACAGAACGTGCTTAAGATTAGAGACAACTTGTGTCTTCCCGTTGGATACTCTACATCAGAGATTCTTTATGGTAGGCTACCTCCACGAAGCTTACATTATATCTAACATCATACCAGGCTTCAAGGATACTCCCTCTTGATAGCTCTGTGGACTTCAGCAACGTCCCTGACAACCGTGTTACAATGGTCGCTGGCAAGAACCAAATGGTTTTCTGGAAAGGGTCCAATGTCACTCTTTATGAGATTGACAATGATGGGAAAGAACACATTACACCTTTTCCAGATGTACCTGATGGCCAAATGGTAATAAGAAGCGGTGAGAAGCTATACATTACTCTGGGCAAAATCAAGGAAGAGTTATAAAGCACTAGGTATATAACTTGCGGCTGAGTTCAATACCGCAGTCTAGATCTAGAGATAAATTCACAATTGCCCCTCGTTCCATCATAATCATTGAGACACACTCTGTAAGCTCCTTTCCCTGCTCAAGTTCCATTCTGCGCACGCGACTATCTCTAATCGCCTTATGTATCTCAACACCAAAGACCTTAGCAATAGCCTCCTCCTTAACACCTTTAATAGTTGACTCAGAAACCGGCACAATTAGCGTAGGTCCGTCATCGATGACAATATACCGAAGAGAACTGGTTGTATTGATTTTGGCGTTGAATAATTCCAGAGCAAGATAGTCAATTCCCGACGAACATATATCCAGACTCATCAGACAATTGACATCACCGTAAAGTGGAAAGGCTGTGGTCACGGCCGCCCTCCAACTGGTTTCCCCTTTAACTGGAGTTGGTACCTTAGAGATAATGTTGCACAGATCTTCGCTGAAAACCGCAGTGATCCCTTCTAAGACAGCGTGTTCGTATGTCGTACCATGAGAATCTGGTCTGCTACGTATGAGTAAAATTGGCTGCTGTCCATTATTTCTAACTGTCGGTATACCGCAAGACTTGGCGATTTCTCTCAAGGTAGGGGAACTCAGAATTGGTCCGCTCTGTTCATGTTCTAGTCGATCAAGCAGCGCGTCGCGGTGAGAATTATTCATACCAATCATTTTATCCTTGCCGATTGCGACACTGACTATAAATATGGCGGTGGCATCATGCTGGCTACATCGACTGCGCACAGCAACTAGAAAATCGTGGAACCTTCGCTCATTCTTGGACGTTGGTTTTTCATGTAATGACTTTATGGTAAGGGCGACAACACGCTCGTCTTTTCCATTCCGTAGGGACTTAGTCTTGATGATAGTAAGTCCGACATTTGCAATTTTTCTCCATGCATCTTCACAGGTAAGCGGTTTGCGAGGGCAGCGCTTCTTTGACTCCCGTGCCATCGTAGGCAAAAAGGGAAGTTGAGTATGGCCGGAAGATGGCCGGAAGATGACAGGAAGATGGCAGAGATGACAGGAAGATGGCAGGAAGATGGCAGGAAGATGGCAGAGATGGCAGGAAGATGGCGGAGATGGCAGGAAGATGGCAGGAAATAATTCCATTTATAGGGAATTCCTGATGCCTGATCAGCTGTATCACGTGGATGATAATTTGTAATCATAGGTGCTCGGAGTTGCTTTTCCGGCAGGTCTGTTATCTTTTCTTTTTATATCTTCTTTATCCAGTAAATATTTTCTGCCATCTTCCTGCCATCTCCGCCATCTTCCTGCCATCTCTGCCATCTTCCTGTCATCTTCCGGCCATCTCCGCCATCTTCCTGCCATCTTCCTGCCATCTTCCTGCCATCTTCCTGTCATCTTCCGCACGGGCTCCGTCTTTACGTCTCCTATGCTATCCATCCAACCACTAAAGCTGTAAAACATACTTGCATATTCAAGCGCAGACACCCATGAATCATGAGATAAGCCATTCATTCTTACCCGGACCAGTCAGAAGGACGGATGATCCTATCCGTATCTGGGCAGGGAGGCTATTTCTTGTAATGAAGACTGCTGTATCTAGCTCGTCCATACAAGCAATCTGACGGGTATTAGCAAGTTGGATCCAACAGGACGAAAATGGCAGTAGCACTGTCTATTAATCGAATAGTCCACCTTTGTCACACAGGCAGTCCAGGACACTAACTGGATGACTTAAGCCAACATCATTATATCTATAATCTTTCGGCCTTGTCTCGAGTACTCATCTCTATTTAGCATAAAATTATTAGATTCCTATCAAGTCATCCTCCAGTTATGCGTTGGTTCAGCCCTGCCGTGCAAGCCAAGGGCGCCATACACGAGTATTCGAATTTCCTTCCTCGCTTAGGCCACAAGTTAATGTCATGCCTGAGGTTAAATGATGCAGATGACAAGTGAACTGAGCTCACTTCATTACAACCTCGTTACCGCTCGGCTAGTATTGATATTTCATCCGCATCACGTGTGAGTAACAAATGCGCTGTTATTTAAAGATATATGCTGATGTACACTGGCATGTAGCTAGATCATAGCATTACTCTGGGGCCCACACTGGTCGCGTGGAATTTCATTCCAAACACAATCTTCGGTACCTTCAATCTACGAGCAGAAAGTGTCTACCTGGACGGTTCTCGTCTGTCTCCTCCGTTCGTGGCTACTATTTATCTTGCTTCGGTTCAGTTCAAACTTATTGGGTCTATTCCATAGTATATTGATGAAGGTGTCTTTATATCCTTCACCTATGTAGACGCCAGAGTTTGGAATATTGTTGTGTTTGTTCCGTATCAAATTGTCCAGCCGCGATGCGAGCTAGCACTATCCTCTGCATCCTTGCCAGACCAGCAGGATGGTCCAGCTTCTCCGGACCCTGCGAGGCATAAGAACACTTGCCGGTCTGATCACCCCTGTTCCCAGTTTATTTAAAATTCCTTTTTTTTTTTTCTTTTTCAAAACGGTACCAGTACCATGCTCTGACCTGTGTTTTTTTATTGGGTCCAATTATCCTAAACTGTTGCGGTCCCCCGACATTTGATTCGCTCCCTGCCTGCCTTGTTAGATTACATCGTGCCTTACACCATTATCATAGTTTAAGAAATGATAAACCTCCATATACCCTTCTGAGTCCCCCTGTTCTGGTTTATTTCTCTATCCTTCTTCTCCTCCCCCATTTGACATTTTACGGCAGATTACTGCCTGATCATAGCCTTCCCTGAAAAAGGTTACACGAGACATCCCTCACGGTTTGCCATGGAACACGATGGATCCTTGCCGCAATGGTATGTCCAAATCAGCCATTACTGTGCCATGTGTGGCGTCTCCTGCGAAATCGGAAGCACTGCAAATATTCGTGATGAATCAGCTTCATTCGACAGTACCCTTGGGCTTTTGACCGCAGAGGAGACTGCAGACCCTGCAGATTGGCAACATAAACTGAAACCGAGCTACTTGCCGAATAATCCAAACCGCCTTATTAGATTTCTCGTCGCGCTCTCTGAAAGCCTTGAACGCCGTGGCATGAAGGATTGGGCAACCTGGACTCAGAAGATGCCTTTTTAAGTAGTTCTAATCTATATCCAGGCTATAGCTAATTCTGGTTCAGATTTTGCACCATGGCTAGCACGGATAAATTAGTCATGAGCTCGCTTCTTACGCTATCCGCGTGTCTCTGGGCCACAGTTGAGCAGAAGAAGGAAATTGGACATATAGTCTTCTACTTCCGCTGTTGTGCTATGAAGGAGCTGCAGATAGCTGTTAGCAAGTTCTCCAAGGATAACTGTGATACGATTCTTGCGGCTACAATGCTATTGTTGTGGGCAAGTGATGAACGGTATGAACTCCTTGATTCTTAATACAATAGACGCTGATAGGCTCAGGTCAAGCTGGATAATTTTCTGGGACGGCTTACAGTCTGCCCTAAAGTCAATGCCGCAGGTATGGAAGCAAGAGTCTGAGCTGGCAAATTTTATTGAAAGTCAACAATACTTTCAGATCTTGAAGTTGCCTTCTTGCTCGAGCTACCAAATTCCTGATAAGGATCTACCTAATCTTTCCTACACAATTGTGATTCTTCAATATATCCGGGATCAGATCTGGCATATTGATAAATACTTCGATCCGGTAAACAAGCTGGTTGATTTCCTAGAGAAATGCCATGATGAAGTCCACTTTCTTTCACCGGATCAGGCTTTTCAGCGCGTGCATTCTATGCGAAAGTGGCTCTTCTGGCTTCCGCCAACTGTACTGCGGGAAGGTACTGGCGATACCCTCGGCCTGGCTATTTTAGCACAATTCTTCACTGCTGGGCTGGTTCTGAATGACTTGTACCCTGAGGCTGGATGTCATGATCTAGGGCAGTTAGCCGTCCGCCCTATCGAAGAGATTTACTGCACTGTCTACGCGCGCAGCACAAGGACGCCACAAGACCAGGACGTACAACTAGCCATGTCCCTCGTGGAATGGCCACGATACATCGCCAACCAGTATTCCTCTCAGGTCATCGACAGTGTCAAGGTTCCCATTTCGTACTCTCTATTTCCATGGCAGACGCACTATATCAACTACTCGGGGATGAAGCAAGTTTCGATGACTTGTATATCGGAGCCGCCTCAAGCTCATTACCCAGAACAATCGGAAGTATAATTACTACACCAACTCGGACGCGACTGGCTGAGGGTTGTTCGGACTGCTGGCGTTCGACAGATGAAGGATAGCGAAGAATGTGCCAAGGGAATTGGCTGTGGACAGGGAGGGCAAACTAGGAGAGAGAACTTGGAGCATCTATATCTCTTGGATCAGGTAGTACTAGAGCCAGTACGGCTGTCATGTTGAATGGTACTCCTCGCCCCTTGCTCCAACATGAGTTCTGCTTCTGGGTCCTGCGCTTGCTATTACATCATAATGGTCTATATCACATTGGTATGTAAAAGTGGGACCGCCTCTATGTTTAAGAATGTACTGTTAATCTCTCACAAGAGAATTTCAGTTAGAGAAACTATAAAGCAGAGGAGTTGTAGAGCGTCCGTTTTTGTACTTATATAAGCAGCGGGTAGAAAAGAAGGGGATTGCGAAGAACGGGGCGCGGTACACATGATAAGTGATAAGTAAAAGAAGAACGAAACAAATAAACAACTATCCTGTTTGTGGACTGCCATGAAAGTCGTATGAATATGTTACATTCGAATGGCAATCTTGATGATATGTACTTACGGTGGTGTAAGCCCAAGTAAGAAAATAAAAGCAGGAGCAATCTTATGACTATCTTCTAAACTCAAGGCCCAGCCTTCCGTTGGACGCCTCTTTCCAAACCTTATTAGGTGATACTCTTCCTGGCTTCTCTGTGCAAATAACGCCAACCTTCTGGCTATGATGATAGACTTAAAGTCATTCTCCATATTGCTATATCATTGAACAATCTTTTGTGGAGCGAGCGAGCCAAGCAGCTTACATGCTCTTTTGGGCGATTCATGGTCTTTGCTGGGGCGGTCAGGCACAGCTGAATACCGAGACCCGTGATGAATGATGAGAAATTGTTCGCTCCAGTGAGAAGCCGCACTCTATTATTTCTTCTGGGGTCGAGACAGCAGACATCCTATCCTTTCGGTACCTGATGACCTGCTCCACAAGGAACATTGCATAAGAGTCCGGTTAATATTGCCGTGGATGGCTTTCTAAAAATGGTCTGAAGCTGGTGCCAATCAGAAGAGGATCTGAATATTGTGGATGGCTTTACGAACTCATTCATGTCCTGGTATGAATGTTGCGTATGGTTCTCCATTATGGCAATGCACTAATGTGACAGAAGATCGACGCTTATTATCGACCAGTATTTCTTTCATATGCCATGGGAAGGGCCAGACATAAAGAATGTTGAACGGAGTAATGGGAAATGGACTTGAAGCATTATTCTGGAGAGGGAAGGATTTAGGAACTTATATGTGCAACCAATCGTACCTGGTCTTGGATTAGTGATTCAAATACCGGCTTATGTCCAAATTAGGGTACTTTTCGTAAGCCTGGGATTAAATTCGTTCGAAACAGGGTCGCAACACAGCCTGATTGATGGATGTACTTGCCAACTTGGATACTTTGCAAGGATTGGATAAAGGATTTTGAGAAAACTATCATGAGCCCTAATTGCCGCTAACATACATATAGTCGTTAAGGAAACTCCGTCTCCGTTAACGGCCCCGGCCGTACTGAATCCCAGGAGCCTAATAATGGGATCTTCATCCGTGAGAAGTGTTGAAAGTGTTGGCAGCAAGATTAGGGGTACAGAATATTATGAGTGTGATTAGGATGACTGCTTCAGCAATTCGATTGGCTATCTATCTTCGAGTTAGCCTGAGTTGCGTGGAACTCTAATAATTAAAGATGATCTTACTCCGAATCAATTATATCCAGTGAGAAGGCAGTAATAGAAATAAGATCGTATAAATGATACATTCTTGCACTGATAGAGTTTGATTCTCGTGCCGGGGATAATTAAGTCGAAGTAGGCCTGCAGGGACCAAAAACAAGTACCAAGAAATATAACTGGCTAGGATGTGACTCCATGCCATTGAAAATAGCACTTGCTCTTGACTTTGTACTGGAATCGGAGCCATAGCTCAATGGAAACGGATAACACTTTGAATTAAAACTTGGAGAGGGATGGAACAGAGTACAGGCTTTTCCAGTCAACATGGCAATCGGACTCCTATGTAACACAATTAAGATAGAGGGTCAAAGTCCACGTATTCATATCGCAAAAGAAGGACTAATGTTAAAGAAAGGATTGGGGGTCATAGTTCTTTGTATCCTTGTCAAGAAAGAGAACCAATGAAAATAGATTCAAAACTGATTAGACCCGCTCTGAGTGTGCGGCATAAGCCTCACGGGGGGCGGAGAAGCTGGAGAATGCTGCTGCTCTAAGGAGGCTAGAGAAGGTCGAAAAGGTTGCTTGGGCCGTGATTGAGCAACATGATACGGAACAGACGCAATAACACGCCAAGCATTGATGTTCACGTGGGTAAAGGTAACAATCATATTTCCGTTGCTTGATTCCGCGAGGACTTTGAAGTCGCAATTATCAAGATAAACAATATCTTTAAATGGACAAGACAGGGCAGGTTCGTTCAATACAACTGTTCTCGTCTTTGGCTCGTAAGTACCGAGAATCGCGTTATGAAAGAGTTTCCCCGCGATCACTATCGGCCTTAGACCGAGACCGTGATTTGACTACATGCCAGTGATATCAGCGTATGCATTGAGACAAATACATGCTAGCTACTCACGGGTGGTGTGGGTAAATCAATGATACTAGACGAGCTGGAGACAGGTCGTATTGAGGTGAGATCCCCATCACTGTCGATGTTGCCAAACCCCACGCATGATAGTGATCTCAGGAAATGCAGATGCTCCTGAGCAGCGGCCTTGCATTCCTGAACGGCGGCGATAAACCAATGCATGACTGTGTTGATGAATGCAAGCTGGTCTGTGCCTAATTGCGGTGTGCATCTGGGGCCAAGGCTGACAGCTTTATAGACATAGTGAATTCGGTTAGAATGTTTATCTTCAGATTTCCTATGTTCTTAATACTCGAGTAATGCTGCAGATAACGCAGGTAATCTGTGATTGTTTTTATTATGCATTCTAGTAAACCCGGTCTATCCTTTGACCTGAGAGACCTGTTATCCAGTATGCCGATCGACCGATGTCTTTTTCTTCCACGGGGTGCTTCTTGGCGGATGGATGAGTATGCGTAGATGGGCCCTCTGCAGCCTGCAGCCTGCAGCCTGCAAAAGCTCGGATCAGGGGCCCGTGAGTCCGTTTATCCTAAGTGGGTCACAGACTGGGGTTTGGCCCACTCCCTATGTAGTGACTTGGCTGGCTTGTAATTATCAGTAGTCACCCCGCAAGTATTCATAGTCATTTCCAATGTAATTATTGGGTCATCATCTATAAGTAATATACCCGGGCCACCCTTAATGTTCACGTAGCAAGTTTTGGTGGCCTACTTGTAATTATTGGTAGTCACCGTGTAATCATTCGTGGTCACCCGTAGGTGTTGGTGGATGATAGGTTCTTTTCCTCATGGACGTCATCATACCAAACGAAGCAACAAAGGAGAGGTGTCAAAGACCCAATCTTCCAGTAGCAATTGAGCACAAACCTTCGTTAGTATAGACGTGATAAAAGTGTGAATCGTAATGGGTCTGAAATTATAAAGGCAAGGCTGCGCACCGGGTGTAGTATTGTCCAGCTTTCTACTTTCCACCTCATTTACAAGCACCGCATTCATATACACTCTCACATCCCACCTTGCGAACTCGGCCACACAAAATGTCGGCGTCTTCTGGTACCGGCACTGCTCAACCGCCCACGTCTGCCAGAGAAAGGGCTCTTGCCATCAAAAAAAGCCAAGAAGACGCACTTTCTCGACTACCGTTGAACACACTTTTCATTGTTCTTTATATACGATCAGACCCTCCTCGACTGAACGACTTTCACTGGGGTTATTACTTCCATGATACCGCTCAGGGCGGATGGAAGTACCATATGAGAAACCTGGGTAGTGGATGGATACCGGATCACGGCCAGACTGGTGGTGTATTCAAGTCCAATTTCCTCTGCACCCTTGTTGAGATAGCAAGTGTCCCAGTGGCCAAGCAAGAACAGCTCCACCAGATTATGAGGTCCCGCGACGGAGACGTCAATTCTATTCCCGGCGTCACATGCCGCGTGTGGCTGATGGTGATCTTGGAGTCACTGATTCAAGCCGGGATAGTCCGTTGCAACAATGCTGAAGCATTGCAGCAGGAGTGCATATCTTTTGGGAACCGATATAGCGCCGATGCTGCAAAGAACAGTCAGCCGCGGCCCGTCGTCAGGTCACAGGTGTCCCTTTGAGGCCGAGCCTGTCGTAGAGGCCTTCAGGATGATTACGTGGGACTGCTATTGTTTTGCTCACTTTATTGTCTGCCGTGCTTAATCTACACTCCCTCTCCACTTGTTGGGTATGTTTCATGTTTGTGTGGTGATGTGTCGAACTCTCCCTATTGCTCTTGGGTTCTCCCAACGATCTTTCGTTTTCATTGCTTCAATTTCTCTCGATTCATTCGTGGTCCAACCATACACATATTTCGCTCCTTTCATTCGTGGTTCAACATATGTGTTCTGGCATATGGTTCTGCCATCTCAGTATAATTAGCTAGTGTGATAAGAACCACAACGATCATTGGCATTCATTGCATTATCATGGAAGTCTTGGCGACTCCTTTATCATAGCAGAAGACCTTAGTGCTGGTTCCATCATCCTTGGTAGCGTGCCCTTCCGTTTCTTTCCAGGACGACCCCAAACAACCCGTGGTCATACCAGCCCTGGCCCTTTGCAACATCTACAGCAATGCCTGCACTGCGGCTAATCCATGATTCTTTCACTTTCCTAAAAGTTTGATTCCTTCATTGATTTGTTGTTTTCAAGAATAGTTCATTTCCGTCATCAAACTACTGCTACACCTAAACGAACCATGAGACCACACAGTCATCAGATAGACAAGCCGCTCTTTAATTTGGGCTAGCTACAATATATACTAATACGAGTCGTTGCACACGTATTGACCTTGGAATCGCGATAGATGCTCTCCAATCAAGTATCTGAGAAGCTAGTCTCGGATACGTCACAAGTTAAATTGCTATGTACGAGTCAACTGTCAATAGGTTCAAAGCAATGTCCGAATCCAGCTCATTGGAATAATCATCCCCCCCCATCCAAGAAGCTACTTGAAACCACCAGCTTCCTTTTCCAAATCGCATCGCCGTTGTAAATTCCCAGTACTCTGGGTACCATCCCGCACATTCCCAGTCCAGAAACCCAGATAAATGCCCATTGTCATCAACGAGAATATTATGAGCCTTGAAATCGCCATGAGTGAACGTGATTCGGTACTTGTGCTGTGAAAGTTTCTTTGCAAGTGCTAGAGCATTCTCAAATTCGAACCTGGAGTCGAATCCATGGGATGAAGCGGGAGAAATTAGATATTCGAAAAACTGTATCTGATCTGTGAAAGGTCCCATTATATGATCAGGAACCCTTGAGCTTCGTAGGGACGTCCCTATAGGAGAGCAGATGGAATCCGGACTTGGAGGAGTCCATAGACGCATAGAATGCATACACATTTTAAGCTCCTCTAACCACGGCTCCTCGGAGTCACTCTGCAATTCATCATCTGAATTATCAAGAGGTACACCAGGCAGCCGGGTCATTAGTATGGAGATCCTTCTGTTGAATGGAGCTTTTGGATGTTCACCACAACATAGAACCTTGGGAACAGGAATACCGGCAGCATCTGCCATTTGCATAGAGACCACCTCTTCGATACTCGTCCGATCCGTCCATTTCATAACGAGACCGAACGGCAATTGCACGACGTTGGCATCAAAATGGATCCTAAACCAGGAGCAATACCAATAAGAGAAGCAGTATAGTAACTTGTGCAAGATGCCCCATACTATTCGGATGGTTCTGCACGGGACATGGGGAACAGGTGGCGTTATCGTCGAGACCGTGGAGGTTATGGGTCGCGGCCATGTATAATCAGGGCGTAGAATACGTGGAATCATTGGTGTAATTAGTTGATAGAAATAGTCTCAGCGATGAATGTAGGTCAAGGGGTGCGCAAGGTTGGGCGTTATATCGAGTGATTGCGACTTTCAGCTTTGCCCAACTCTGAAATCACGTGATATAACACGTGATTATGCTGGTCAGGATACTCGGTGAATGACAATCTCAGTACACACTGAGTGGAGAACACGTAATAACGATTGAACTACTCCGTGGAATCACAGTAATGCGCAAGACGATGTATAGGCTTATGTTGGCGTGTTTTAGGTTGAATAAGCAGGCCTGTCTGGCAAGTTGTGGGGAATGGGTAGAATGCGGTCCATGTTAGCAATGAACGCAAGCCGTTCAGGTGCGAGAGGTTTGAATGGCATACGAGTATCGATCTCCATCACAACTTTACTCTCGCGATGCCTTGGCTGGCCAGATCGTGAATTGAACATAGATAGACCCAGACCGTCTTCTCAATACGGCCTTGGCAATACAAATTTCATTCGACTCCATGGTGCCCCGGCATCCTTCCAATGAGATCAGGGCCTACTGGAGGCGAATCAGGCTCAGTAACCATCTTGTAATTATCAGTGGTCACTGTATGAGTATGGGTGATCGCCATGTAAGCATCATAGGTCAGCCTGTAAGTATTGGTGGTCAAATCGAATCTAAAGTTCTATAGAACAGGCCATCTTAGCCTCGACGGACACTCTATCCCTTGCCGTCTGATTTGACCAGCAAGCATGTGTTACCGGAGAAACAGAACCCTGTCATGATGTACCTTGACTGCGTCGGGAAAAAACAGGCAATTGTACAAGATTCGACCCCAAACGGGACCGAAACGGCTGGTGCACGCGCGCTCAGAGGGCGGCACAATGTGTCCGGCTCTTACCCCCACTTCACAGGGAAGCTCCACCAAACGTAAAATGAACCGTCCGAACCATGAACGTCAACAAAATCCGGCCCTAAAAGAAGATGGTGAAGAACCTAGCGGCGACATTGGGAGATCTTTGGCAGCATCAAGTGCGAAGTTTGAGGTCAGGCACAACTCTTCGTCTAAGGTGGGCAACGTGAATCTGACCACACTTCGCCCACCCTACCCGCGATCATGAGCTCGACTAATACTGGCTAGCGTATTCGCTGGCCTCATCCATGTTGGGATAACAATTCCGACTTCAAAATCCGCTAGAGTTCAAGACATAGCTTTACTGTTATTAGAACAAGCGAATAAATCCATTTTCTCATTTGAGATATTCGACTCTCCTTATTATAGTTACGCCGTTCTTAGACCCTGCTAGCAATCTAATTCAGAAAGACTCCTTGGGTACGGGCGGCTGGGCGTTGCTTTCCTGAAGGAAAAATGGCGATCAAATTGCCCCTGAGGCGGGTATCTCGAGCGGCGCTGCTTCGGAGGGAGACTTCCATATGGGCAAGATATTCGGCCTGCGTCAGTGATCGAGAAGTGTGATTCCATGTGCCTATCAGGATGCCAATGATTTCGTAGAAGAGCTGGAAATCGGCTCTTTGGAAAACACTTTCAGCAAGCACTATTATATTGTCGCCAAGTTGTTTCTCTGGAGCCTTTTGCCCAAGTAGATTCAATAAGCTGCCAATCACGTGAGACGATAAGCTTAGAAAGCATTCTGGCGACCTTCAGGACTGCGGGGTTTGGGCATAGCTCTTTCTTCACCTCACTTCACCTCAGCCCATTGTCAGACCAGGGGAGGTTGCGGTTGATGTGATATCCCGGGGATTCTGTAAGTAATTATGCACTTGCTCCTGGATGGATGGCTTATTATCTTTGTTTGATAGAATGCTCAGTTATAATAACATTTTAGTCCGATTCAGCGCCGTTGTTTTCGAGATGGACGCGGACATTTGGTTCCGGGAATGGGCGTCAAAAAAGGGCCAGAAGCTATCGAATATACAAATAGAACGGCTTGTCACTCTTACAAAACAATGGAAAAACACTGTTACATCTGATACTTTGGGCGTTTGGACCTCAGACCCTTCGGCTGAATTCTGGGGATTTGAACCTTACCGTACAGAGGGCGCGTGGGTACGGGAATGTCTGGAGATCAAAGTCCCAACATTCATGGACGGTGACAAAAACACTGACGACTGTGAGAAAGTCTCTGCACGCCGCAGGGTCCTTCTTATTATTCTTCATGACATCATTCAAAGGGAAATACTGCGATTGCGAGCATCTTCCCAGGCCCAGTCAGTCAAGTTTCTTACCGCAGCTGTCAGAAATATTGTGGCACAAGCTTATCCTGGAAAGGATATCAAGAAGTTATGTAATAAATGTATCCATCTTCAAAGGTATGGGCAAAGGTATTCGTCACTGGCGAGAAAAGAGTTGGTATTAACCCCCCTGCAAGCTACTTCATCTAAGTCAGTCTGCCCTTTTCGAAAAATGTATACCAGCTAACTTTAGTCTAGGTTTGAAAGGGCTAAGATAGAAAATATTGAGATGGAGGCGCTTGTTGCGTTCGGGGAAGCGACCTATGATAAAAAGCATCAAAATGATATGCAGGAGGCATTTTTATGCATTCTAAATACCTGTCCATTTAGACAATCTGGAAATTCGAAGCCGCGGCTTCCCTCAAAATCGACACGAAAGCGCCTCCGGAAAAAGGCCGCAAGAATGAAGCATATACAGAAACCTTCAGCGTCTCCGACTACCTCTCGCCACAATGAAAACCAAGTCATCCAGAATTTCCCCACACCGCGACATGACACTTTCAGCTCCCTAGAAAAACCGCCGGGCTCGAGTAGAAACTCTACTGCGCACCTTAGCGAAGCTCAGAATGCAGCTTTGGTTAGAACGCAACCATCACAGCTACAAGAGGAAAACCAGACTCGAGAAACATGCGAAAACTCTCCCATGCCTTGTGTCCCCGTACAGCTTTATTCTCCTGGTGATAATCTTTCACTTGGTGAGAATATGCTGTTCATCTCTCGGAGTGCGACGAATCCCTTTGATCCTCACCAGGGTATCCATCCGCTTAGTGATAACATACTGTTCCACTCTCAAAATACAGTAAATTTCTTTGACCCTCATCAGGGCATCCATCCGCTTGGTGACGATATACAGTTCAGCTCTGAAAATGCGGCAAACTTCTTTGATCCTCATCAGGGTATCCATCCGCTTGGTGATAATATGCTGTTCAGCTCTGGAAATATGGCAAATCCCTTTGATCCTTATCAGGGTATCCATCCACTTAGTGATGATATTCTGCCCAGCTCTCAAAACACGGCAAATTCCTTTGATCCTCAGCAGGGTGTCCATCCGCTTCGTGATAATATGCTGCTCAGCTCTCAAAACACGGCAAATCCCTTTGATCCTTATCAGGGTATCCACCCACTTAGTGGTGATATTCTGCCCAGCTCTCAAAACACGGCAAATCTCTTTGATCCTCAGCAGGGTGTCCATCCGCTTGAGGGAATTATTCAGTCCAATACTGAGAGCCTAGTGTATCCCTTTGATCCCACCACATAGGATCCCAAAATAGGAAGACCGGTCCTCAGCACTGAGAATTTGTCAACATACGGGATAAGTTTCCTACAGACATTGATGCCACCATCTGACTCTGCGAAGCAGTCTTAGACCAGGAAATACTGCAAATCAGCAAGTGTTGCGTGTAAAATAAAAAGGAGATTTCCTCTAATATCTCCAGTCACCTCTCGTTTTGTCATAACTGTCATTCATGATCTGTTTTGTAAAGGCTTCCTTAATCTATTTACATGCGTGAAAACATTTCTGGAATTGTGAATTGACTATATGTGTGGAGAAGTTGTTCATTCCCCAGCACCTCGGTATGGGACGACAAATATCACGGTGGCGTTTGGGCTAAGTGTAGGCTCGGTAGTAGTGAAAGTGTACGTTCCCTCTTTCAGAGGTCCACCAGGCGTCAAGATTGTCTCCTCAGATAGTGGAACAAGGTACATCTGATTGTATTTGTTGCGTATGGGTTTCGGTACTGAGAAGTGCCCCAAATTCCAACCCCAGCCCTGAAATTGATGAGTCGATATCGACGAATACTACCGGATAGGCATACCTCTCCAATATCCATTTCCTTAACCATTTTCAACACCAGTGAGTGGAGTTGCACGCTAGAATAAGTCTTGTTTCCTTCCGTATCAATAGAAGCAGTGGCTTTTAGAATTCCTTTTTTATCCTCCTCTGTTGCCGTCTCAGGTATCATTTCCTTGATTTGTTCGCGCAGGGCATTAGCCTCCTTGGAAAGCGGGTAGTTCATTACGCTCGGCGTTCGCGTAGAGAGGTCGATGGAGCTGAAAAAGAGATATATAATTTAGCGAACTATTATTTTTATGATGGATGGATATTAGGTACCTGCCTTGAGAGTTGACTGGTTGTGAGGAAGAAGATTCATGACGGTTATGCGAGGGGTTGTGGAGGGGCAGTGTTAGTTTTGAGGCCGAGGACCTCAATCAGTTAAGTTTAATCACGTGATTCGACTGGGCACCAACTTAAGGAATTACTCAAGTCCTGATCTTTTTCAATGAAGCATGTGCCCCACTGCGTGGATCTTGGCAACGTCCACTTTCCTCCACGAAATCCTGGTCCGTCATTGATAGACAGTGCCATTGTCGGAGCGAGTTCACATATCCGATCTGGCCAAATACCAAACGCGAGCAATGAAACCTATTGTCAATCAGCTATGGCTCAACAGCACGCTCAGCTATTCGTTTATTCCAATGAGTAAGACGAATCCAGAAGGCTATGGCTGCCGCATCCAGTCAGTCCACTTCTGATATCGTTTCGTTCTAGGCTGTCAGAGGGCGGATTCGACAACTGACGTTCAGTGATGGGAAGTTATCGCTATAATTTCGTATCCTTAAGGACACAAGTCTCTCTTCAGCAGTTGACGGATCCTTTGCCTGTCGACCTACATTATCAACGCTGAAGGTCACTACACAGTTAGCTTCTCCTATCTATGTGTTGTCGCTCATTACATGCTGGACTCTCTGAAGCACAGCAGGATATTCCTGTCTTGACCCAGTTAAAGTCTCCTTGTAAGTGCTACTTGGGGAGATCGCAAGGCGGTGAATCAGCAAATCGACTTGGAACCTTGTCAAGTGGCCCATAATTGAGCGGAAGCCTGCACGTGATCCAGATGTCCAGAAGAGTAGGTCAATCTTCTCTTTTTTTCTCCACGAGGCTCTGCCACCAGCAATTGTGCTCTTTGGTGGCTGCATGTGCTTGTAGAATATCAACGTCTTATATTATAAGGCGTTTGCGTGAGGGCCAGGTTACTGGGTTTCTTTCCCATTTGATAGCAGATAATGGTTTGTCGTTCCATACTTGGAAGTACCAGGCTTTAATTTTCGTTTGTACGTTTCAGACACAATTTGGATCGCTTTCGCGTGTTTCAAATCATAATTATCAATTTCCTATACTACTAGCTAAGAGACATTCACAATTTAGTCTAAACTACCTGCTGCTATAATATGCGCCATGAAGATAAGCACGATACAACAGCTCGCAGATAAGCATATTGGGATTGGGCAATTTCATCTTGGCTGGATACTTCACTCTATTTCATCTTGGCATGTTCATAATACTACTTCTTTGGCCCCGAGGACCCAGATCTCCGTTGGCCAGAAGCAGACTCACTCCTAAATGTTGATAATGTTTCATGGGGAGGAATTATTAGGAAGTGCTGGGGTGGCGGATATGCAAGTATGGATCAGTTTGAAAAAGGAGGCTTACCAATATTTCAATAGTTAGGAATAGCTTGAGTACATAGTCTCAACGTTTAACTTTTACTTCCATACTAAACTGTTGAATTAATAAATTAGATTCAGTTACATTAGACACACAACCCAGGCACATGCTAAGACAGGTATTTTCTTTCCTTTTCCCAATTAGGCTGTAAGTGGTACTACTTTAGATGCGAAGTAGAAAATGACTATACTGGAATATACGGGCGAAATACGACGAGGGGACCAACATGTGAGTCTCAATTCTATCTCATTTTGTGCGTTATACATCACCAGAGGACATGATCAGTTCGAAAAGCTGCTGTGATGTCATTTCATATCCGAGTATACGCCCTTGCATATTGCCTTGCCACTGCGTGTCTTTATAGTTGTACCATTGCTTCTCGCATAAGTCATAAGAATCCTCACTGCCAACCATATCAACCAAGCTGTTGATAACATCTTCATCCAGGATATTCAACGAGAATTGTGTGTCTGGCCAATCTGTGTCATTCCATTTTTCCACACTTTGAGGCTCCACAAGAAAGCCTAACTGGCGCAGGTAAGTTGGCCGATCAATTCTCCATGCCATCTTAGAGTTCCAATTCAAAAGAAGAAGGAGCTCTATGATGTGCGGTGGTCGCAATTCCTGAGTAACCCGAGCGATGAAAGATGCCCATGCAGAGTCAGAAGTTTCATGTTCAGTGAATTGTGCTAGGTCGGCTTGGGGAACCCAGTCTGATAACTGGGCGAACCTCCCTTTGAAGATATTACGCCCTAAATATCCCCATATAAATTCGACAACTTCAATCAAATCCAGCTTCTCCCGAAGAGACCTGTCCGGATTATCCGCCCATAGCTGCCAAAGCTGGTTATAGCGATCATTTCGGGTGGAGGACATTTTGTAGTGTGTCATCTTCGCAAGCCAGATCTTTTCAATCAGCACCCAGTGGGCTGTCAACGCATGGTAAAATCGAGAATATTCTGCATATCTGTGCCCATAGTCCAGCGTACAATTGAAGTCCTTGGGTTCTGGCATGGCTTCTTCAGTAGCACAATCATAGAGCCTATCGTCCATAGCGGGATGAATCACTGTATTCGCTCGAACATAATGGGAGTGTATTGAGGAACTTCTGTATAGATCATAAAGGATCTTCATGGCATGCCATCGGACAACAACCTCAATTACCTGATTGACATTTATCTGAGGGACCACAGGCTTTTCGACTTCGTCATATGTTGTCTCGGGTTCGAGAAATATTTCCCTTAGATTGTGACGTTCATAAATATCCTGAAGGAGGCCTAGCTCGATGTCGTGTTCATGATGTTTTGCATTGATCTGCCCAGGTATGTTAGCAGGAAGAATGAGTTTAGTAAGAGTTATATTCAGGGAGAAGTAATCAGACGTACTATAACCGATTTAAATATTACGATTTGAAATCTTTGGAAAACCCCATGGAACTGTTTGCATGTATGAGAGAAAGACAAGCAGTCATCTATATTGTTCAGACTTTGGAAAACCAGGATGATGAGCTCCACAGATATGTTCTGTATAGACATGTTCCTGTTTAAAGATGTCTCAATTACAGCTGCTTGCCTGATGAGCGCAAATGGAAGGTGCTATATATGTCCGGCGCGGCGTACACGGACATATTTATAGAGGCAATTGGCTTGTGCGCCAGGAATACCGGTTGATTAAGTTAGCTCCCGGGAGCTTTTCTTTTTTTGGCCATGAAATATGAGCTAATGGGGTTGTTTCGGGATGTTAGGCGGATGCTGCATGAGGTTAACTAGCATAAAACAGAACTCCAGGGTTCTGCCTATAGTTAGGCTGGTTGCCTAGAAGATCCATTTCCTGCAGCAGTAATCTAGGCGAACATGTGAAATCACTAGTGCCAGACAGACATCCTGGCATAGACTGGGTGTGGCCAGATGTGTGCCTCCATCCAATCACAAAGATATCATTAGCCTAGGAGATTTAGTGTGCATCGGTGTAGATAATCATGAGATCCTAGAAAGGATAATGTACCCTTACAGGATCGTTCACTGCCGTATCAATATAAAATCGTAGTAACCCTTTCAGTAAATAACTTCATTTATCTCGTACTCCTAGCACCCGTTCTACAGTTGCTAGACCGAGCATAACACATTGAAAAATAAGATATGACCGAACTCCACACGAACACAATGTGAGATAACATCCTTAACATTCTTATTGATTTGACTAAATTTCCAGGTACCCCTCCATCCAAGCGCAGTTTTTACGTCCAAAATGGCAATCATTCTTGACAACCCGATTGTTAAGAGCTAAGAATATTCCGCAGCATCTCGATTCGACTCCAGTCTCCGACTGTTCACGTGAGCTTCTTGAAAGTGATAATCCTTCTGATTTCATTGCTGGACTTATCATTCGAATATCACTATCACCAAATATGGACTTGGCAGAAGTCCACGTCGATAGCAGTCGTGTAACCTTAGCAAGGTTACACAATGCCATACGAGGTCGGGCAGGGTTGGAGGTCGAAAGAGAAATTGTTGCAATTCTCGGATACCTTATTTCTGTTGCTATTGAGGTGTCGCCGGCTATAGCTCCGGCAGAGCTGATGGAGCTAGCTGAAGCCTGCCAACGTGAGGCTTATATACCACAGGTGTCAGGCCACCTTGACTTCCTGCGGGCCTATGCGTTGTGGAGATGCAGGGGTGAAAGACATGAGGTAGCATACAGCTTGCTTCTTCCTTCGTTCATATCAACACCTTTTTTCTTGGCAGACATTTCGATTCTCGCAACGATGGCTATTCCCTCCATCCAAAGGGACAATATACTGCAGATGTGGCCCATTGTCCATTCTATCTCTTCCAACTTGAAAATTCTCACTGCGGATTGGCTTTGGATGATAGGACCTATTTCATGGGGCATTCACTCACTCTATGGACTGTTGTACCAAATGGACCAACAGGTATCTTCACCCTATATTTCTGCGTACTTCGACAACTTCTGTGCAACATTCCAGAGATTTTGCACCGACTTACACGGCTTGGCGTTTGGAGCCTGTACTTCTATTGATACCTACTGTGCTGAAGACAAGCAACTGCAGAGTCTAACGTTGGAGACTGCCCGTGTTGTGTGGCCGTCTTTGGAGATGTTGAGAACTCATATTTTTGGTCTCATATATCATTCCTACCAAGGTAACGACTACTAGAAGCACCTCGGGCTCTCCTCTCCGAGGCTAACATACCATGGCATCAGGTCACAGAGAGTGCCGAGCTTTAGGCGATAGCTTGGCTGAAAGTACCGTGGATCCTCAACTGTTGCAAGAGCCTGTTCCTAGCAATGATTCTGCAGAAACTGAGAGCAAAATCTCTGCAGCGACTAGCTTCAGTCGTGAGGAACTCCGGGTCATAATATCATATTGGGTTGACTGGATTTATCATCAGAGGAGTCGGTCAATAATAAGAGGGAAGCCGGAGTTCTGGCCACAGAATGTGCGGTATAACCGATCTAGCAAGTTAAGAAAGGCAGGTACGTATTACTTCTGAATTCCAGGCTATAATTCACATATCATAGAGGCAAAACTCGTGTTCAATCACTTTCTTCAATCTCAACCTTTAGAAGGTCTGCGATCGATTCTGAATGTTGAATCAAGCAGAATATCAAGTGATCTCGCCAACAAATTGGCCGGCTTCATTGATTCGCAGGAGTTCAAAATGCTTGAATGTCAGCGAAACATGCCTGGAGATTCTTGTGTTTGAGGACTAGGATTTAGTATACTCACTACGGAAAGATCCTTTGTGATATCAGATCTAGAAAATTTTATCACTTGTGTGTACTTTTGCCGGATGGTATACTGTACATAGTGTAGTCTAGATTCAGAATTACTTAGATTGGAAGGCTGGTCCAATTCGTCTTCAAAGAAAACCTTGGTTCAGCTTGTCTTTTCCATGTAGGGCATGGCTATTCTGAAACAATTAAGAATATTGCAAAACATGAGCAAACATGAGGAACTAGAAGCAAAGATAGCGCGACAGGCAACCGCACTTGTTCTATGTTATTTTCGCCCATAGTTTTCTTTTCAAGCGCGTCGGGAGTATAATATAGACCGTTTCCGTATCCCCATCCAGAAGTGTCAGTTTACAGCCCATTCTTATATCTCTACCCTTGCTTGAAGGGCCATTCCACCAACCAAGAGGAGCGTGTGGGGTTGTTCTATAGGAAGGATCCCATTTTATAATATTGGATGGCTGCAGTTCCCTTATCGAGAGATCCTTATAGTAGCAGTATTCCGTGTAGATGCCCTTTGTTTTATTCGTAAAAATTCTCTCCAAAGGTAGCTTTATCGTCTCATCACCATTGATGATATCGTATATATTCAAAGTTATGCCAGATGAAAAGTAGACTTCAAATTTTTCTTTATCATATCGCCAGCCGTTTTGGAGCGTAGAAAAGAAGGTTTGACTAGTATCACGGAGATCACCTGAAATATCATTCACAACAAGGGAAAGATAGAGACAGTTTGAAGACTTCCTAGAGCGAAAGGAACTCAAGTTATGGCCAATAAGGACTGGAGAACTTTGACCAGACTTTACGGCAGTATCGATCCAAGTAGGATCTTTGAAGATCTGCTGCCAGAGGCCACGACCGGTGTCCAGAATGTTTTCAATATCTGATGGAACCAGAAAGTCCTTGATGTCCAACCGAATATCATGTGGGATGCTAAAGAGCTTCATTGAGATCGACCAGTGTTGTTGCTGGCGCCGTAGTTGCGATAATGTTGCGGTTTATCGGAAATGTTCCAAATGAAAGCAAATGAAAGGAATCTATAATCCAGCAGGAGGTGCAAGACGAGCCTTCATATTTAAGTGCATGATACATATGTACAGTACTGTATGCAAGTACGAATTGTTCACTCTTGCCAGATCATAGACTCACCAAAATTAACTGTCACCAATATCCCTACACTTTTGCCCGTAGTAGAGACATTTGCCCTGGGTTGCATCTCCTCGAATCTTGTTACTGCTTACAGAAGCTAGGAGAGAAGTGTAAATCTACAATATGTACCGTATCTTGCTGTATCGACAATTGTACTCATCCAAGCATTCTATCTTCTCATTTTCATGCTGACTAATAATCTTTCAAAGCAAGTCCTCCTATGTATGTACCTGTGCGCTGTCATCTTCAGGCAAGGTACGAGGCTCACACTACAAGGGACCCTGACGGGATGGTATAATACCACAATTGTCTCTGAGGTTGACGTCCAGCCTATCAATGTCACAAGTTATACCTTTCAGTGGTAAGAACGTGGGAGATGATTAGAGCTGTAACTTGATGTGACCAGGGCCTACAGTTTCAATTCGATTAAGAAACCGACATTTTCTACCCGTCGCCTAAACATACAGTCTGGGAATGAGCCAGGGCTTGTGGTACAACAGGACAAATTGGTACCTGCCAAGTCTATTCGTAAAATAATTATGTACATATTATTACGGTACAGGTGGGTTAGGTTGTGGGAAAAGAGCAGGAAGAGTAAGCGTTAGGCATGGTAGTTGTGCAAAGTACTGTACATAGTATGATCACTCAATCAAGTATATAAACTACAATAATAACAACAGAGCTCGCCCATGGTAAGAGCCTTTGCCCAGGCCGTAAGGCATCTCCCTAAATACTGATTTTGTTTGGAGAAGCTGTCTATTGTATCTCACTATACTACTAAGCTAGCCATCAAGTCTTCTACGTCCCCACATCCTCATACTGCATGATCATGTCAACCAATCGATATGTATCATGTCTAATCCAGGGAATGAAAATCGCCGCATCGAGCGTGACAGCTGCCGCGAGGCACTTTCCAAGCACATTTGTAAGTTGCAAAGTACTCAGTCTGACACAGCTAACACCAAGAAGATGATATGCTATCTGATAAGGTTGTTGCACCCTCAAAAGTACGATTGCAACCATCACCTAGCGACGGTTATAAATGGTCTTACAAGGAATCAAAAAGCCACCTATTCAAGAAGCCGCTGAGCGAATTGTCAACAAATAGTTATATTGAACTACGGGAAGCTCTTAAAGAAGGCGCTATCAAAGCTACCCGAACACACAATGAGTCCCCCGACACCGAATGGAGGAAGCTCAAAGCAGAATTAGACGGCGCTTGTAACAGGGTAGCTGAGTTGGAAGGCGAAAACCAACAGTTATACCAAGCTCTACAAAGACAGTCTGAGAAGTTAAGATGCCTGCAGCGATGCTTTGCAGAAAATAAAGGCCAACTCGAGAGTGCGCTATTTATAATGGAAACAGTAAAGAAGGCCTTTGATAGTGATTCGTATGTATTTGAATGAACGATAGTGAATCAAGAGATGGATGTTTTAGCTTTATGAAGAGGCCCCGTTCAAGCTTCTGTCATTAGAGACTCTAACCGAGTGAAGGTTAGCTTCTCTGGCTTGATGCTGTACCCGCGTCGCTTGTGGATGTATTAACCGATGGACAAAGGCACCGTTTGAGACGCTTGCCAAGTGTGCTCCCAAGAACCAAATACTCTATGAATATATATGTATCTCCTATATCAAAGGATGTATCTGGTTTATAGTATCTGTACAACTTTTGGACTAGTATATTGTTCTGTACAGTGTTGCCGAGAAGTCTATCCAGGGATAATACTGCGGAACTGTTTTTGCGAAACATATATATAACTGGTACTGTCAAATGTAATAGCAACTGCCTTCCAACTAAAGTTGCTCTGATTCTGGATTGTACTTAATCTTAACCATCATGCAGCATAAATGCAATAGCAAATATAATTTGCTCAATCGTATCATTTATGAACTGCAAATATAGATTTCACAAAAGATTGATACTAGATTAAGATGGCAGTGGCTCTGTACGTATTTGAGTATAGATACGCCAGAAACTGAGGAGCCAAAAGAATAACCCTTTCCAATTTCCAGAAAGTGAAGATTGACCGTCCTTATTTGCTGGTGTCGGTATTGAAGTCTTTTTGGAGCTTTGCCAGAAGAAAGTTGTTATAAAAAATGAACAGTATTCCAGATAAGACGGCGAAGAATCCTGTCACTGCGGCAGTTACAGTAGCAGTAACTGACCATGTCTTAGCTCGGGCTGTGTACACATTGATAAGTGTATTGAAGAAGCCAGTAGCTGAATTAATCAGAACAGGCCTGGAGAGTGTTAGGTGTCCTGTTGTTCTGATTGGGATGTGCCACACCCACAAGAATATCTTGCGTCCGATCCATACATAGTTCTGCCTGTTGCGATAGTACAGCCAGCTCGCTCCACAAAGACCGATAAAACAGCAAGTTGCTGCAATACCAAGAAGGGAGACATTTTGGACAGCTTTATATGCTGTTCGACCAACTTCATTCGCATCGCTGGCCTTCTTTAAGGATGCAGACGTCTGCAAAGACGTGAATGTGCCGGGAAAAACCAGATATCCAGCCAATAGGATCCAGCAGAAAGTCGCCGCCAAAATATTGTCAATAAGCGGGACTTTCTCTGTATCAAGTAGCATATTAACGTAGCGATCCGGTGATTCAGATGCATGCTGAGGTTTGTCTTCTGACACAGTCCAATTTCGGGGGACAAGACAACGTAGGGACGGCAAGCGAAAACGGTTAATCCAGTTCATAGTGTGAATATATTCAATAGGTATGTATATTCAGAGTTTGCTCAAATTCCGTATGTACTGAAGTGCCGCTACTATATATATATCTTCTGGGCCATCAAATATATGCTACCCGTGGGCTGTGTTCAAACGCTAGGGTTTCTTCCTCCACTCCCGGTACATTCTACTGGGAGTCAGACTAGAAAAAACTTTGGGAGCTGGCCAGTGATGGCCAGAGGATGGTAGAAAGTGTTGCTCACTGTAGAAACATCGTATACCTCAACACAGAGATCACAACACTCTATGCAGCGACATGCACCATAAACAAAATTGCTCACTTCAGTATTTAACAGTACGACAAACATACTATATCTGGAAACAGGGTCTGTTGAGGCATGCTTCAGCCCTTGATGCGGACCTTCGTCTGACCCTGTCCCTCTACATCAATGTTGTTGGGGATCCATTCAATCGGAAGCCCTTCGAATTCGCATATCCTTCGTATGTCTTCCCTTCGAATCCCATACTCGAAAGCCGAGAAAGTGGACTGTTGTTTCGTCTTCCAATTGTTCAAATATTTGCTCATTTCCCTCAGGCACACAACAACAGTACAAAGGGCGTGGTGGCGGTACTTAATAGCGTTGCAGTGTAATGAAAAGCCTCCGTTCTTCACATAATTCAGCAGCTGCATTTCGCAATCGCTCGCAAGACATTGCTCCTGATTGTGCTTGCATAGATTCCAGAATAGCTGCAACCATGAACTCAGTATGTCCCAGATTGCTGGTCGGCCTTCACCAGGCGAGGAAACTGATTCCTCAAAATAGCGAAAGTCATGGCTTGGGGGGAGGGTGCTCCATCCTTTGAAATATCTCTTTCTTTGGCAAAACTCTTCCAGGACGACCTTGGTATAATTTTTGCCTCTCTCTTCATCCCAAGCGTACAAGAATGTTCCATAGTCAATCGTCCCTAGGTCTGTCGGTAGTTTATTTTCCTCATTGAGACTGCAAATCCGTGAATTGATAACTTCTATTTCGCTTATAGCATGCTTTGCAAGATCAAGTAATCCATCTTTGTGTGCTTTGTATAGGTCACGGAGGTGCTTCGTAGCTCGTTGATACTTGTAATGATGGTATAGTCGAAGCTGGACAACGTCCCCGATTTCTCGATAAACTCTCTCCTTGTTCGCCATTTCTTTATCGCATAAAATATATCGTTTCTGCCTCACTCAAGTATGAACCATTCGGGTTTAAATAGTCGTCACTCGCTGCTGCTTGCTTATGTACAGTGGCACTGACGTAAAGCTGGCATAATGTAAATGCGATATTAGTGCGCTCAAGAGCACAGCCTTTGGGCTGGATGGTAATAATTTTGCCGTCCATCTCATAGAGTCAACACTATTGCATACATCGTGGGAATATGCACTCCGTTAGAGCCATTTGTTTTAGTACTAAAAACCTCTAATTTGTACATTCCGCAGTGCGACGTAGTATTGCGTCTAGAATACACTCAGCTCAAAACGCAGGTATAACAGCAGGTGAGGTTTGCAAATGACCTCAATGTAGTAGGCTATTTTTTGTTTGCCGTTTCCTGCGAGTACGTGCCCGGGATCAACAAACAAGGATACCCGTGCAAAATACACGCCTTGCGGAGATCGTCACGTTTCTTTTCATAACTCAGCCTGTCCTCGGTAATGAGACAGTGTGCTAGGTCCTTGAGATACTGGAGAATATCGTCGGTCTGTATGAGTCCCACCATGGAGTTCATATTTCCGTGTCGCAAGTGAAGTTTAATGACTCGTCGATTCAACGTGAACCCATGTTCGAGAATCAAAGTCTCTTGATCATCAATAATCTCAGGTGTCTCTCCGGCTTTCCGCAGCTGCCAGACGAAGCTGAATAATAACTTTGGGGTGCTCCAATTGCAATCATCCCAGTAACGACTCTTATAAGGACGGTACACATAATGTAGCTGCGGAGGTTGGCGTGCCCACCCAACAGGGTAATGTTGCAGCCGACAGAAATCGTTTAGGTAGTACTGAAGGCCTGGGACAGACCACGCATAGATGAAAATGTCTAAGGCGATAACACCCAGTTCAGATTGTACGTTACTATCAGAATTCTGCCGCCGAATTTGAGCATTGATGGCTGATATTTGTTGCCGAGCAGCTTTTGCCGCCTGGCTCTCTATTGCATTCCTCTGAACAGCATAGAAAGTCTCGAGGATTGAAGGCCCTGCAAGCACGTGCAGCCTTTTGTGATAATCCGATATTGGCAACGGGCCGGATGTAATATTTGATAGTTTTGTGCATACTCCAAAGCTGCTCAAAGTAGACATTTTCAGAGGAGAGATGGGTCTGACGATGAAGACTATAGCTTCGCTGAGATCGATTAAGCCAGAACATTAGAGGCAGTATTACAGGCAGAAAGATCATCATTAAATAAACAGAGCAATATCATAATGCGTTACCTCGCGCGTGGGGTTATTTGGTAGCTTCTGCAGGCTGGAAATCAAGACATAGAAGCTTGAAATCTTGATGAACAAGTCCCTCCTTTTCCACTTTCAGCAGTCCGTCCCGAAGTGAATCCATAAACCCCTCACCTGCGGATGCTTTTTCTCATTAGACTGGATACATCCTCGCTGTGAGGACAGTGCAAACCTGTTATCAGAATCTTTCCCCGATCATGCTGAAATTCCTTTGGCAAGACTTCCTTGATATTTACCCGATGTGCAAAGCTTTTCACACGGCGACCGTACTCTTCATTATTGTGCACGTCCGGAATATACAGTTTGATATTGAGCATCTAAATGATGCATCAGCCATTGTCAGTCAACCGCGGTCCGCCCTATCTCACCAGAGTCTTGGTATAGTTATCAAAGTCTTCCATTAAAAGATGTCTCATCCACGGAGAGACTGTGGCTAGGTTACCTACATCGCTCATTCAGTATGCTGCTGCATGCTTTGTAGATGTTATTCTTACAAGAATGTGTTTCCCATATCAGTGAAATTCGACGGACGGGCAGTTCTCCGCGTAACGACCCGTATAAGAGATAACGTATATAGGGTATTTGGGCCGCAATACCAATACCTTGTGCAAACATGATGACATGGCCATACTCCTTGAGATCATGGTTTCCACCATAAGGTCCATCAACAACGGCTCGCAATTTTGTTGAGGACCCGTAGGCAGCAAGATGTTTCGTTAGACCCCATCGTGGCTGAATGAGTAACCAAAACGTGAATGGTCTTTCGATCATAGACTCCATTATGCTCTCTGCAGTTGCCGTGCCATCCCGTCCAAGTATGGAAAGTTCCCTTCCAAGCTCTTCATCGTTCGAAGGATCGGTGGGAAGTCTAAGCTCTTCGTGCCACCAAACCACCGAGAACGGATGTCCCTGCGTGATTGACCAAGGATTCATTGTGCGGACATAGAGGTAAACCGTTTGACCGGGTCTCAATGCCCACCCCCTCGGCAATTCCACTCGAATTTTGATCGGAGGTTCAGGTTTACTTTCTGTGCTTGGATCTGAACCCATTTGCTCCTCCGATTCCATTCGCTCGTTCATATGGTAAACAGCCACTATTGTCGGAGGCCGTTCCAGTGGAAGGTTGAAATAAACTACCCGTCCTAGTTGTACAACTGTGGTGATGATAAGCAGACCAGTGGCTACCTCGAGACATACCAGACTAAATGTGGGCTGTGTCACAGTGGCTGTTGTGACTCGCAGTATATGTAGCCATAGAAACACTAAGCTACATAGTGCAAGGCAGTAGTGTAATTTGATGAAGATTTCGTACATGTGTCTCCGAAAAGACGGAAGCAGTATCAAGAGCATTACTGCAAGGGTGCAAGATGCCTAAAATAAAGTGAGTAGAGAACATGAAGGAGCGCTGGTGGTCATTACTATAATGCCTTCACGGTGCCCAACCTTCCTCCATTGAATTTGTGTATTTTGGCTCACGAAAACAATATGGAGGCCTGTTTGCAAGAAGGCCATCCAGCCCGCTGTTTGGTGCATTGTAGTGAGAACACCTAGCGGAGTCCCCAACATGTCCGAAATCAAATGAAGTCGAGAGCCTATCCAAAGAAAGCTTAATTGCAGGACTGCAAGACTCCCTGCTCGTGCCTGGGCGTCCTCAGAAGACTTGACAGCAACTCGGGTACAGATCAGTGTACTGCTCCAATAGAGTAGCTGCAGGGAAGCTTCCCCCCAACTTATCCGGCGCAGCCATGTACGTCGAGTCACGAAACATGACAATTGCCATTGATGGAGGAAGGATGTTAAAGGGCGTGGCGGCCATCTGAAGCGAAGGCATAGATAGAACGACCTTATGAGCAGAAGAGCAAGCACGCCACTAATAGTAATGGCGAATATGTAGATCACCTTCATTGTAACTTGGAATGCCGTTAGTCCCTAATATCTTAATGTGAGGGAGCTTCTCTATTTAACATATTATACTTGTAAGCAACCCAGTAAACTCTTATTGTATTGTTGCCTATGCACGCTGGCACCTTTTCTGGGGCATTGATCTTATAATTGCAGCTAATTCCACTCCAATGTCAGAAGAGAACATCAAGGTTTACGATACAAATTCTCCAAAATGTCAACATGTCGTGACAGGAGTTTCTGGAAGAATCATTTCAGTTGGGAGTTTGAGCTTCTGGTTATCACAGTTCTTGAAGTCGGTATAGGATTGCTGCATTGGCAAGCACCGAATAGAATAATTTTATCAAAAGAGTTGAAGGGCCGTATGCCCAGAACTAGTTAAGCTAGATATAAGCCCAACCTAATAAATGATCTTATACTGTGGTGAAATGTATAGAACGTATACTAGTCAGCTCATGCCACAGAACCATATAAGTTGTCTTAAACCAAGAACAGCCTATGCTAGATAGTGTTGGTAGATAATATAGGCTCTCTATTAGCCCGGGCTACTATCCAGCCTGGGTTATAAGGTACTCTATTAGTACGTAGGCTTTCAGGTAGCTTATAGCCTAAGCTTATAGCCAGTATTTTTATAAGCCAGGCTGGATAATAGCCTATACTATATATCAACACTTTCTAGCATCGGCGGTTGAGTAGCTGGTTATAAGCTTAGGCTATAATATACTGTAAGCTATCTGGAAGCCTAAATATTAGTAGAATTATGGTTAGCTCCAGTAATGCTTAGGCTTTCAGATAGTATATTATAGCCTAAGCTTATAACCAGCTACTCAACAGCCTATGCTAGAATGTATTGATGGATGAATATACGCCCTTCATTAGCCCAGGCTTGCTAATAGCCTAAGTATAGGATATATCCAGTAATACTTAGGCTTTCAGATAGCTTGTTCTTTCTAATAGCGTAGATTTTTGTTTAGCTTAGACTACTCCATAGCCTGTGCTAGAGAATATTGATGGATGAATTTACGCTCTTCATTAGCCCAGGCTTGCTAATAGCCTAAGTATAGGATATATCCAGTAATACTTAGGCTTTCAGATAGCTTGTTCTTTCTAATAGCGTAGATTTTTGTTTAGCTTAGACTACTCCATAGCCTGTGCTAGAGAATATTGATGGATGAATTTACGCTCTTTATTAGCCCAGGCTCGTTAATAGCCTAGATATAGGATACATCCAGTAATACTTAGGCTTTCAGATAGCTTGTTCTTTCTAATAGCGTAGACTTTTGATTAGCTTAGACTACTCCATAGCCTGTGCTGGAAAGTATTTGAATATATTACAGTATAGCCTAAGCTTATAGCCAGCTACTCAATAGCCCAGACTGGATAGTAGCCTCAATGATATTTAAGCTTTCAGATAGCTTATTCTATGTCATAGCCTAGGCTAGTAATCCTGAATTTAATTGTATCTTCTGGCATAGGCTAGTAGCACTACGATAACAGACTACTGATATTGCTCAGTTAAATATTCACAGCCAGTATAGACTGTCAGAAGTAGTGTCGAATAGTAATTAGAATAAGGCTTATAGTTGCACATTTTCCACATCTAGTTTAGCTTGGAACAGCTGATCTTGTTCTACGCAGACGATCAGACGTCCATTCAAAAGCTCTTGCTGAACTTGATCATATCCAATTTGGCATACATCATTGTGATGGACAACCAGATAGCACCATCCTTCATGACTCTCAATAAAGTGCTGGACGAGGGGGATCTCGTCAGATGCCGGCACCCAAAGCTGTGAAGTTCCG